ATGTCCTGCATTTGGTATTGATCAGGATTGCCATTTTACAAGGTCCTGGTTTCTCTTTCCTTTCTTGTCAGATAATAAATGGCCTCAATTAGCAAAATTAACCTTTGCACAGTCATGACTGTATGGCCATGATAGTCTAGGCTGAGCCTGGGGCGGGAAGATGGGAAAAGGAGATTAGAGCGAAGAGCCGTGCATAGCCGGCCATCTCCTGCTGGTATGTGTAGCTCTAAAGCATTCTTTCTGATACCCCGTCATGTTCCATTATGCAGGGGTGCTGTCACTGATTTGGTCAGTCCCCTGTTGATGTGGTTTTGGATTGCTTCCAGTTTTTCCTCGTTACACACGAAGCTTGGCCTGACAATCCTTCATGACTCTGTGTCCCTATGTTTTATGAGCCCACTTTGGCGTCTGCAGAACGGAACTGTGGGTGGCCTGCCATGGCTTATGTTGGTTTAAGTCTGGGAAAGCTAAGAGGCAGCAGAGGTCCAGATAAAAAGCCTGAATGTGACTTCTTCAAGATTCTAGCGTGTAATTTATCCCCTGAACTTTCTGGGATTGGCTGGATGACAAATGCAAGAGTGTTGCGACCGCCCGTTCAAACCAGGAGCCTTGCAAGATCAATTAGGGAGTCCCCGATGAACAGATGTAGCAGGTGTATAAATGCTTGGGAACGTGATTGAAAACCCTAGAAACAGTGAGGTGGGAAGCGCTCAATGGATGTCAAAAGGCGGACTCAGAATAGGTTCAATGGCCCTTATTGGAAGGGCGCTAGAGCAATAAAATTTGGAGGAAAAATAAAAAAGTATAGTATCCTGTCTGTGCTTTTTCCAAGGCACAAAGTAAAAGTATTCCTTTGAAAGGGCAGGATATTTGTTCCTCTGATAGTTTGTAGGAAACTATGGGTAAGATTTTCGGAAGACCACTCCCATTTTATTTGACAATCAATAAAAGACGATTTTCTTGTAGCTATTTCCTCCTTCCTCTTCTGTCCCCTCGTCCTGTCTGTGGGCTCAGCTTTGTGTTTGTTTAGGAATTTGTTCTAGTGGTTAGAGCGCCATTCTGGCCGGGACTGTGAAAGAGATGTGCAATACACAAATTCCTGTCGACTGACATCAGTAGAACAGAGAACTGTGCCAGACTGAAACTAATCATTGGCTGATCGCATATAACATCTATCTATCTATCTGTCTATCTATCTGTCTGTCTGTCTGCCTATCTATCTACTTATCTATCATTTACTTATCTACTTACCTACTTTATCTATCTGCTTATGTATTTATTCATCATCTACTTCTCTGTGTACCTACATATCTACCTATCTATCTGTGTGTGTTATATGAATGTACGTATAAATGAATTTGTCAGAGATTCTAAATAAAGACCAAAGTTCTGCTGCATCAAGAAACCAACTCAGCGGCCGGCCTGGTGGCACAGCGGTTAAGTGTGCACGTTCTGCTGCTGCAGCCCGGGGTTCGCTGGTTCAGACCCCGGGTGCAGACATGGCACCACTTGGCAAGCCATGCTGTGGTGGGTGTCCCACATATAAAGTAGAGGAAGATGGGCACGGATGTTAGCTCAGGGCCAGGCTTCCTCAGCAAAAAGAGGAGGATTGGCAGCAGACGTTAGCTCAGGGCTAATCTTCCTCAAAAAAAAAAAAAGAAAGAAACTCAAAATCTCAATGGCTTAACTTGTAAAAGTTTATTTCTTGCTCATGGAAAGCTATTGTGGGTTGGTGGGGGTGGGCTCTGCTGCATTTAGTCGTGCAGGAAGCCAGGCTGGTGGGTGGGTCGCCATCTGAAATGTCACTGGTTGCCACTGCAGGAGAAAGTGGAACTAGAAGGTTGTGTTTTGGCTCTCAAATGCTTTGGTGTGGAAGTGACACAGCCACTTACGCTCACAGCCCACTGGCCAGAAATGGCCATATGCCACTGCCTTCCTGCCAGGGGGCTGCTCATCTCCTCACAGGGACCTGCAGGGGGCTGCAGCATCTTCTCCCCACTCTGCTCCTGCAGCTCGGCCTGGAGTGGCTAGAGCTGCTGAGCTCTTGGCTGATGACCTTGGGCCCTGGCTTTACTATGTGGTTATCTGAGCCCTTTGGAAGGGTTCTCATAATACACTGTTTTTAGAAATTCATCCTGGGAGGAGCTGTCGCCCTCTTGGAAAACTGATGAACGTCCTCTCTTCATAGGTAGTGAGGACGCGATCACCTGTCATGAGTCCCTTTCAGTCTGGGCTCGCAAGGAGCTCACAGCACAATGTGGTTCTCAGAAGCCGCCCCTTATGTCAACCTAGGAATTTTGTAGAATTCCTCCTCCCTCTACTTTATTACAAACCATTTTCTACTTTTTTAATCATGTCCTGGTTGAGTGCAAGACTTTTATTGTCGACCAACCCCTATTTCTCTCTTGGAAGCTGCCAGGGTTTACATTACACATAAATAAAAATAGTGGTAAAAAATAGCTTCTGTTCAGTAAATGGTTCCTTGGTGCCAGCTGCATTCTGTGCCTTATCTTGTTCATTCCTTACAACAACCCTATGAGGTATTATTGTCCGTACTGGGTGGGTGAGGAAGTAGGCTCAGAGAGGTTCAGTGACTTGCCCAAGTCCACACAGCCAGCAGATGGAAACTAAACCCAGTTATACCTGATGCCAAGGGCTGGGTCCCTAACCATTTCCATTTTGTAGCATCACACAGGCGGACCATTCAATTCAGGTAATTTGTCCTGTCCTCACCCAGCTTTTGCTTTCATTAATTCAGATTTTCTGTGTTGTATATATAAGAAAAGTGGAAATGTTTGCGAGCCAGAACCATTCATTTCTTTTAGAACTAGTATCATGGCCCCTTAAGGAAATAGAAGGTTTTATGGTATGGGTGTCTGATTTAGGGGTTTTTCATTTTCCTTTTCTTTTTAAAATTAAGGAGTAATATATTTACAGAGATGTGAGGCATGGGTGGGTTCAGGTGCTTAAATGATGTCATCCACATTTGATCTCTTTCTCTTTGTCTCTTGGCTCTGTTCTCTTCCCACTTGACACCACTCTCAGGCAGGCCTCCTCCACTGGTGACCACGGGCAGCTTCAGGCTTATAACTTCCTAACTCCAAGTCCAGCAGAAAGAGAGAGCTTCTCTCTTCTCAACAGTTGTGACAAAACTCCCAGAATTGAATGTCGCTGGTTTTGACTGGGTTCTGTGTCCTGACCCAGTCACTGTGGCCAGAAAGAAAATAATTCTGACTGGGTCATATGTCTACACCTGGCCCATATGGACTGAGAATGGGGGTATTAACTCAAGGAAAAGTGTTACCACCAGAGAGAGAAATGGATGCTAGGCAGGGAGAAGATAAAGGAAAATGGATTTCCACCTTGCTGAGAAATATGGAATTGAGTTAGCAAAAATGAACATGCTGAGACTGCAGGTGAGGGCAGAAAGTTAATATTGGTGTTAGCTCTGATTTCTCAAGGAAAAGTCTAACCCTTTATGTTTGTCTAGAGATAAACTTGTAAACGTTGGCTGAACTTTACAAATGATCTACTTCCTTCTTTCAAAGGCGTCACCATTCATCTAATCCTGGCTTGAAACTATGGAGATATTTCTGTCTTTTATTTTCCTTACCTCTCACCCCGCCCATATCGGATCAGTCCACAAATCCTATTGATTCTTCCTTTTAGTTTTCTCCCCTATGTGTTATTTTACTTTTATTTTTATTTTTTTGGTGAGGAAGATTGTTCCCAAGCTACCATCTGTGCTAATCTTCCTCTATTTTGTATGTGGGACACCACCACAGCATGGCTTCATGAGCCGAGTGTAGGTCCATGCCCGGGATCCAAACCTGCAAACCTGGGCTGCTAAAGCAGAGGGTGTGACCTTGACCTCTATGCCACCAGGCTGGCCCCCTCCTCTACTTATTATTTTTGTCGCTGTTCCTACTGACACTACACCAGCAGCTCCCAGGCTTACGTTCTATCACCATAGCAACCCTAGTGAAACAAGAGCTTATCTCTCCCAGTTAGTCTAGTCAAGGTCTTGGAAGACTGAATGGGTTTTGTGCCCCTTCCTGAACCAAACCCTGTGGCCAGGGGCATGGTGCACAGTGATTGGCCAGGCCTGGGTCATGTGACCATCCTTGGAGTCAGGAATGCAATCAGCCCTTCCTGAATCACCTGGACCAAGAGTGGGGGAGGGGCGGATGCCCGGAGGAAAATCAGGGCATTGGGGCCAAAAGAGGGACAAATGGGTAATAGGCAAGTAAAAACAACAGATATCCAGCACTCAGTGATCAAAACTCCATCGCTTCTGATTTGAAAGCGTGTCCATGGATCAGAGCTCAGGGAACTCATAAAATCATCTTTTCAAAGTGGAAGGATGGTAGCAGCTGTCTCCTTACCCAAGTCCTCTAGTTGCCATCGACCTTTCTTCCTTTGTGCACTTATCCTAATTTATACTTTGAACCCCAGAACCGCTAGTGCAATCAAAGTGCTCAAAAGTCCTGTTCCTTCCAGTCTTTTGGTCCATGTCTCCCCTCCCTCCCAACTGAGGCATTGTATTGGTCAGGATGTAAGTTTGGCCACATGTATCAGAGACCCAAAAAACAGTGGTTTACATAAGATAAAGGTTTATTTCTTCCTGTATGTAAAAGTCTGAGCTGATATATTGGCACCTATCTGTGAAGTCATCAGCAACCCAGGCTTCTTCCATCTGTTGGGCGCCCTCCCTAGGGCGGGTGCTGCCTGGTGTGCACGCCCAAGATGGCGCCCCGTCGTTTCCACATTCTGGCCGGCTGGAAGTAACCTGGAAGTTGTATATATTGCTCTGCTCAGGTCCCGTTGACCACTCTTGGCCACACCTAGGTGCATAGGAGGCTGGAAAACATTGTCTTTATTCTGGGCAGCTGTGTACCCAACCATGAAAGAAAGGAGGACAGGTACTGGAAGATAACCAGCAGCCTCTGCAGGGAAGAAAGGGAAAAAGTCTGACCTTTTCCTTCCTTTTTGTTTTTCAGGTAACAGAAAAGATCCCTGAGTAACTGCAAATGCAAGAACATTTTAGCACTCCAGGGTAAAGAATCTGTGCCAGCATGTCTGCCTACTACAGGAATAATGGGTACGAGGAAGATCCAGATGACCCTGACTATTCAGGGTCTCGGAACCCTACGCGAGGATATTTGAAAACTCGGGGTTATTCAGATTCTCCAGGTCCTCTGAACCACTCGGGTTACCCCACCAGCAGGAACCCATACGCTGCAGACTCCAGAACAAATCCAGACTATCCTGCGTCTCTAGCAGAACCAGATTATCCTGGATCTCAGAGTAATCCAGACTACCCTGGCAGCAGAAGCAACCCATACTCTGGAGGCTCCAGAAGGAATTCCGACTACCCTGCGTCTCTAGCAGAACCAGATTATCCTGGATCTCAGAGTAATCCAGACTACTCTGGCACCAGAAGCAACCCATACTCTGGAGGCTCCAGAAGAAATTCCGACTATCCTGGGTCTCTAGCAGAACCAGATTATCCTGGATCGCAGGGTAATCCAGACTTCCCTGGCATCAGGAGCAATCCATACTCTGCAGGCTCCAGAAGAAGCTCAGACTATCCCAAATCTCTGGCAGAGCCAAATTATCTTGGATCTTGGAGAAATCCGTACCCTCCAGGCTCATCCAGAGAGCCAGACTACTCTGAATCTCAACGAAATCCTGACTTTGCAGGTTCCAGGAGCAGTGGAAACTATGCACGCTCCAGAACAAATCCTGATTATCTTGGCTCCTTGGGAGAACCAGACTACCCTGGATCTCAGGGAAACTCTAACCATCCTGGCCCCAGAGCCGGTTCCAACCATCCAGGCTCCAGAAGGAATCCAGAATATGCTGGTTCCAGAATCAGTCCATATAGAGACTCTCCGGCACAGCCTGACTATCCAGGTGCCGAGAATCAACCTAACTCTCCACACTTTTTTGGGGAACCAGACTATCCCGGTGCTGAGAACAATCGGAACTCTTCAAACTTTTGGGGGGAGCCCGATTACCCAGATGCGGAGGATGGTCGTGCTTCTGGCTCTTCTGAGACCCCGGAAGTGACCAGGGAGTAAGTGCAGGCATCTCTCTCCATTGTGGGTGGGGGCTAAATGCTAGCTCATCAAGTCAATGGAACTCGGTTGGCCTTGTTTGGGTTTGGGACACGTATGATGATTTCCATGATCTGAAGCTGTGGTTAAACTTTTCATACCTACCTGTAGACCTCACCTGGGCCGTGGCTCTCGCCCTGAGGCTTCAGGCCCTTACCCGAACATAATCTTCCATCACCTTTTTCTTGGATAACATCCTCCCAGGTCCCCTACCTCTTCCTATCCAATCCCTGCAAGACATTTGGGTCCCCACTGTTTTGCCCCTGCGACTTTGCCTATAAAGGTTAGGATTAAGACTTGATAATTATACACCCAAACATTTTAACCAGATTTGTATCAACATAAATGCATTTTAATCAAGAAAATCTTTTGACGATCTAACTCCATGAAATCAATTTAATTCCTCAGTTTTTTTATACAAGATGGTTGAGCCACTCCTGATTTTTTCCGCTTTCTTTTTTATTTTACTGAAATTATTATCAGAACTGATCATTTTTCGTGTTTACAGCAGATTTGGTTCATTGATCTTCTGCATTCTTGTTGTTTTCATCAACTTTGATCGATTATAATTTTTGCCATTGTCAGTATTCCTTCAAGGCCGTTTTAAAAAATTAGGTCCAATTTTTCCTGGTTCAGATTCTGTAGATCTGAATTTTGTCAAAAAGATTTTAAATCTTCTGTCAATTCTTGGTCATTGACAAATTTTACCAGGTGTAGTTCTGGACATTAACAGCGTTAGTTTGAGTTAGTCTGAGTGACTTAGTTTTACCAAATCTGATTTTTCCTGAGTTAAATTTTTCAATGTTCATGTTGCCAGCAAGATGTGATTCTTTAGTCTGGTTTTTAAAAAATCTATGAACTTGGAACTAATTTGAGTCTTGTTTTGCATGTGCTGTTTCCACTAGTATTATTTATGAATTCAACAAAAACTAATGGCTTGTGTTTATCTCTAGGAACAAGGATATGGGATTTGGGTGTGCAGCAGGGTCAAAATGTCTTCCGGTCCTAAATAGTAGGGGTAACAGGACCAGGTAGAAATGTCGTCCTTGGTCTTGTCCCCCTTGCCTGATTCATCATCCCAGAATGTGCCTTTGACCCTGTCACTCCTTTGTTTCTCATCGTCATGGTTCCCCGTCACCTCTGGGAGAAAGGCCACACTACCTCGCCCATGAGAACATTTAAGAATGAGCATGCACTTGGTGAATTGTATGATGCCAGCCAGAGACCAGCCTGACTTGACAACTCCCACTTCTCCTATCCCCTCCCTACCTCCACCCTGTATTTTGGGTCAATGGGTCTTGACCTTGGCTCATCCTTAGAATTACCTAATTACCTGGAGAACTTTAAAACACTGCAGATGCCTGGGCTCAACTTTCAGAGCATCTGATTTAATTGTGTGGGGTGAGGCCCGGCATTTGCTATACATTTAAAATTGAGAACCATGGCTCCAGGTTAATTGATTTTTGTAGCATTCCCGTTACACATTCAGCACTTTCCGGTCTGACACTTTTATTTATGCTGTTCTTCATCCTTGGAAGGTCCTCCTCCTGACTCCTTATGTATAAGTTTATCCTTCCAATCCGGCTCGGCTGTCTCTTTTCTATGTAGATTTCCTCCCAAACTCCCAGCTAGAATTCTTCTCCTTCCTCTGACCTCGTTGGGCCTGTCTTCTGATACTCACCAGTTCCTGCTTGTATTATAATTGCTTATGGCTCTGTTTAAGGAGCTCTCCCAGGTTGTATTAGGAGGTAGACATCCATGTCTTTACCTTTGCGTCCTCACCCTAGCCCATGCCTAACACGTGGTTGACATTCAGTTGGCATTTGTGGGATGGATGAATGGATGGATGGGTGGATGGATGACTCTCCTTACCATGCTGCTGGATGGATATTGATCCATCATTTTGGGATTTTAGACTGCTCAACAGAACATCTTCAATCCAGCACTCATTTCGTCATGGGGGTGACGGCCCCTTGGGCATCCTTGAGAGAGAGTATGAAGATTACCCTGAAAGCATTGAAATGAATTCCATGGAGATGGCAAATCCATATGGCCGCTCTGTGCCAGGTGCTCCTGGAAATGGCTATGGTAAGCATTTATTAAGATGAGGATCATATCCTGAGAAGAAAGGACAATTCAGTGGACTTGGGGGAGCAATCATGAAGGATTTACAGCAATAGAAGAATTGGTTAATTCTTTCTCCCTCGAACGTCACCTTACAAGGGCAGAGAACTCAATGTCCAGAGAGATAAGCAGTATCATCAATTATCAAAGCAGGCCAGGTAGGGACCATGAAAAATTTGGGCATGTGCATCCTGTGCCTGCGTGAGGTGGCCGATGTTCAGGTTCGGCCCATTGCAATTATGCGGAAATTTGGGCTCAGTGTGGCTGGATCCTCAGATTTTTCTAAGGAAGCCAGAAATCTAGGTTTTCATGTGAAACCGCCTGATTTTCACAGGCTGCAAAATAATAGTTTAAAAAAATAAAAATAGGGGGCTGGCCCTGTGGCCAAATGGTTAAAAGTTCCATGTGCTCCGGGGCCAGCCCTTTGGCCGAGTGGTTAAGTTCACGCACTCACTGTGGTGGCCCAGGTTTTCGCCGGTTCAGACCCTGGGCGTGGACATGGCACTGCTTGTCAGGCCACATTGAGGTGGCTTCCCACATGCCACAACTAGAAGAACCTGCAACTAAGATATACAACTATGTACCGGGGAGATTTGGGGAAGATAAAGCAGAAAAAAAACCCCCAAAAACATAAATCTATTAAAAAAAAAAAAAAAGATGATTGGCAACAGTTGTTAGCTCAGGTGCCAATCTTTGAAAGAGAGGGAAAAAAAAGAAAACATAAATCTATTTAAAAAAAGAAAGTTCCATGCACTCTGCTTTGGCAGCCTGGGTTCGCAGGTTTGGATTCCTGGTGTGAACCCACTCCACTCAACAGCCATGCTGTGGAGGCATCTCACATACAAAGCAGAGGAAGATGGGCACAGGTGTTAGCTCAGGGCGAATCTTCTTCACCAAAAAAAAAGAAAAATAAATAAAATAAAAACAGCAACCTAGACAAACAAAATCACTGGTAGGCTAGATTCAGTTTTTGGGGCTGCCAGTGGCTAGCTTTAGTGTCGCACATATGAAAGTGTTCAGACAGTCAGCACTTGTGTATTTGGAACCTACTGGGGACAAAGGGAGTAAGAAGCAGCTCTGTCCTCATGTTTCTTAAAGCCTAAATGGGTAGGTGACATCAGCACATCAAGAGGAAGGAAAATCAGCAAGCAGGCTCTGAATATGTGATCAATCACGCCCCCCAGGCTAAGGAGATTCTAAACTTCTCGCCTTCCAAGAGGAGAAAGCGACTTGTCTGGTAGAGGAAGCCTTTTTGTTACACAAGAGTCAGTGTTTTGGGGATTTAGAGGCTGTGGGGGCCAGAAAAAGGAGGGAGTGTTGAGCTAAGAACAGAATGAGGTTGGGGCAGAGGGCCGATCACTGAGCCCTGAGGGCTGGATGGGGGGAGTCTGGAGCAGGCAGAGAGGAGGGGCTGGGGTGCCTTACGCTCTAATGAAGATGCGGACTGTTACACATTTGAATAAAAAGTATTCATTAAGGCTATTCCAAACCTTTACCCCATGCATTCCCAGTGGGGGCAATATCAGTCCTAAGGGGGAAACTTGTTCTTGAAAGGCTGGAGAAAAATCTTCCTCTTTTTACGTATAAAGCACAGATCACACGTAGCACGTAAACAGCTATACAGTGTATCTGTGTTTTAAAATTTCACGGGGGAGGGCAATAAGGCAGAAATGTCTAGGAGTCAATAATTTAAAAAAATTGACACACACTGTGCTCCCCCAGAGCAAGTGGAGTTAATAATGCCAGGCAGGTTTTGAGTGTTTCCCATGCCTGAAGGCTCTGCCAAGTGCTGGACTTTAATTGCCTTGTTTAATCTGCACAACCAGCATCAGACAGCCACTACTGCTCTCCCTGTTTACGGATGGGAAAGCTGAGGCTCAGAGAGAAATGTGCCCAAGGTCACCCAGGTCTAACTTGACAGAGCCAGCATCGGAATCTAGTCTCTCTGAACCAAAGCCTGAGCTGTTTCTTAGCCTGCGTTACTGCTGGGTTGGATCAGGACAACTGCAAACAGATTTCCTGACCACCAAGCCCCATAGCACCCTGGAAATTAAAATGTTTAGAAAAAAAGTAGTCACGTTAAGTGTGGGTTCCTTGGCTGGGCTCCTTGGTAGGACTAAGGTTGTAGCCCTGGGCACTCACTTGTCCAGTGCCATGCCATCCTCATAGACTGCACTCCTTAAGAAGAACCCATCTTCATCTGGGTATCCTCCAAGGCGCTAGGTGATTTTCCTAGTGTCACAGTGCCTGGCACACAGTAGGTCCTTCAACAGTGCTACATGAATTAATAGCAACAGCACCTGTAAGGGATGTATCAGTTAGTTATTGGCACAGTAATGCTGCATAACAAACAACTCCAAAAACCCAGTAAACAAGCATTTATTTCTCACTCACACATCTGCCGGTTTGCTTGGAGTTTGGCAGAACCAGGTTGGGTTTGGCTGTGCTTGACTCCAGACCGCGGATTCTGTTTAGGTCTATTGTCCTTCTTGATCAGGTGAGCCACCCGGACCATTTTCTTCCCGTTGCGTAAGCTGGAAGGTCTCAAAGTAGCAGGCAGAAACGCAGTGTCTCTGAGGCCTTGACTTGGAACTAGCACACTGTCATCTCTGCCATGTTCCATCGTAAAAGCAAGTCAATGACCAAGGCCAGCTGCAATGAAGGTGGTCCAAGATGGGGGAAGGGTAGTATTTGCTGAACAACCATTAATTAACCACAATAGTTAATATATATTGAGGATATATATTACATATATGTATATAGTCCAGGATTATATATATATAATCCAGGATAATATATATGTAGTCCAGGATTATTTGAAGCACTTTACTGTATTGACTGATTCAATTCCCCAACAATCTTATGTGAAGATCCTATTATTATTCCTGTTTTAGAGCCTAAGATATTGAAGCTCAGAGAGCTCAAGTAACATGCCCAGGGGCACACACGTAGTAAGTAGCAAAGCTGGGAATTGATCCCCAGCAAAAAGTTCCAGAACCTCCTGCAGTGTAATTTTGTGCATCGTCCTCTAACAGATGAAGCCAGTGTACTCCCTTTTCTCTGTTAAGGAGATTAACCTTTAATATTTACCATGGATTGAATAAAAATACACTGAAATGTGACACTGTCTTGTAGATGCTGAGCATGGACCCTCTTCCTGAGAAAATCATGCCAGATTCCAGATTGATTCATGCATCATCGTAAAATGCTGAGATAGGAAGGAACTTCTGTAACTATCTAGACTATCTATTTTTTCGCTCATTTTTTTTTTACTCAAGACAATTTTTTTTAGAGCAGTTTCAGGTTCACAGTAAAACTGAGGAGAAGGTACAGAGATTTCCCATATACCCCTAACCCCACACATGCACAGCCTCCCCCATTATCAACATCCCCCGCCAGAGTGGGACATTTGCTGCAGTTGATGACTGTGCACTGACGCCTCGTTATCGCTCAAAGTCTGTAGTTTACGTCAGGGTTCACTCTTGGTGGTGTACCTTCCATGGGTTTGGAGAAATGTATAACGCCGCGTATCCATCTACATGGTATCACACACAGTATTTTCACTGCCCTAAACGTCCTCTGTGCTCTGCGTACCCATCCCATCCCCTAGACAAGCATTTTTCAAACTCTTGAGTTGTAACCCATACAAGTTGTGAAATTAATTTTTAAAAATGAAACCGGAAAGAGTGGAACAGAATCATATATCACAGCGCTGTTTATGTAGTCAAAGTATTGCTTCGTGAGACTCGTTCTTCAGTTATACATGTTCAAGTGTGTCCTGGATCTCAGTGGAACAGTTACTTTTAACCATGGCACATAGTCCACTGAAAGCATTGATCTTGGCTGTTTCTATTTAACAGCGTTGTTTTCGTATTTGTGTCCTCCTTTCCACCCAAGGGCTTAATTGTTAGTCTGTTAGAACCTCGAGGTCAAGGTCTCAGTCTTGCTGACCTTTACGTGCTCAGTGGTATCAGTGTGGTGGGACGATTGACAATGTCTCCTGCCTCTTCCTTCCAGTGAACCCTGCGTTTGTGGGTGAAGGCAGCCCCAGCCCAGCTAATGGGAACCCGCCGTTGTCTGGGAACGATTGGCACAAGTCACCCCAAGGTAAGGCTTAAATGGACAGTGACCAAAAATTCAACCCTGGAGAAGGAATCTGTTCGAGGTAATGCGGAGGTTGCCATTTCCCCTTGGCCTTCGGTGTGGTGACTGATGCAGTACTTTCTTCACTTATTTCTTATTTTTTATTTCCTTTCCTTCTCCACGGGCCAGGGAACATGACCAATAGCAGGCCTTGTGACACACCCTCAGCTGAGCAATCTCGTTGGACAGTCTTTCTTTCTCTCTGGGTCTGTCAGTCAATGCTGAAGAAAGACTCTGCCCCTCCCTATTTGGGGCACCTTTACCATAGGAAAGAAGACTGGGTCACGTGTCCATCCCATTGCTAACACATGCGGGTGAGGTGGCAGGGCATTGATCAAAATTTTTCTGAATCCTGATAGAACTATTATGATGATGGAGTATAGGACCCATGGGACTTGTGACAGACAGAAGGCTTTGGAATCAGTTCAGAAGCTCTCTAAGGCCCACCGTGTGTGGTGATGAAGGTCTGATTGGGGCAGAGACTGAGAAATTAAGAGGAGAGAGGTCAGAAAATTCTGGAACCAAGAGGCAAATCTATGAACAATGAAGAGTAAACCAACGGAGTCTTCTATATAATAACACAAATCTAGGGGCCCCATGACTTAAAACTCTTTCTCCCCTTCTGGCTCCTGAGCCTGTGGGATAACCTTTAGCCTCGTTCTTTAAGAGTTTTCTCAAAGATGCCTGCATCTCCCACCAGGGTCTCTGTTGCTACTGGGCCAGAAGACCATGGACATGTCAACGGTCGTGCCCTCCATGCGGTTCCCCCTGGAGCAGAGAATGGCTTTAGCTGCTAGGGAGAGGAGATGCCTTTAGACTTTAGCGACTGCTTTATCTAGGCAGCATGAGGTCTGAGGCCTCAGAAGGCACAGAGAAGTAAAGAGAGGGAAGACCCAAAGAGGAACCGAGCTTTCTTCACCATCTTTTTTTCTTCACCATTTTGCTTTGCGTTGGTTTTGTTTCTCAGACCACGTACAGTTGAGTGGTGGACAGCCTCCTGATAAAGCATCACTTCGATGGATTCTGCTGTGTACCTAGGAAGCGCCTGGCACCTAGGAGGCCCTCAAATATTCATTTATTTATGGAGGAATGAATGATACATCAGCGTCTCAGTACAGGAAAGGGCCAGGGTGAAGTGGTCCTGAGGCCCGGCCTTGGGGCCAGACAGACCTGGCTGCGACCCCCAGCCCTACGACTTGCTGGGTTTGTGACCTTAGGCAAATAAGCTCTGGGAGCCTCAGTTTTCTTAGCTATAAAATAGGGTTGATTATAGGACCTATGTCGTAGGGTGATTATGGGAATTAAATGGTAGACTCTATCTAAAGTACTTGGCCTGCAGGAATGGCAGGTGTCGTTACCGTGAATTATCATTGATGGAGAGAAGGAGTAGAGGCCTGTCTAACCCCACTGCTTAGCGAGAATGTGATGAGGAGGGGGTCAGGTCATTTCTCGGCACCTCCATTTCTCCGACTATTAAATAAACTTGGCCGCAGTGATTTCTGAATCAGGTCTGTTGGATAGGAGTTGTGTTCGGGTACCTGGTACTGAAATGGGACAGTGGCTTAGCAGCAAAGGGATTAATTTTTCTCATGTAACAAGAAGTGTGGAGGGAGGGAGTCCAAGGTTTGTAGGCAGCTCTGCCCGTGATGTTCTCAAGGACTGAAGCCCCTTTGACAGCTTCTTTTTCCACCATCCTTAGCAGGTGAATGTTGGCCCTCCTGCTTTCAAAATGGCAGCCTCTGGTCAGGAAGAAGGAGAAATGGTGATGGGCAAAGTGTGGAGCAGGAAACTGTCACCTTTAAAGAACATTCCTGGAAGCCACATGTCTCATTGGCCAAAATTGGGTCATAAGTCCACCCTTAGCCACAAAGGATCCACCCTGAGCCGCAAAGGAAGCTGGGAGATTTGTAAAGGAGGCTTCTTCTGGTGTGAAACAAAGAGAGAATGGATATTGGGAGGCAGACAGATAGGAGCATGGGCCACCCAAGACAGTCAGGAGATAGTAATTGTTTCACTGTGAACCTATGTGGATATATAGGCATATAAAATTAGAAATATAAGATATAAGTTTCAGGCCGGAGGCATCAAATTAAAAAGAAAATCTTGCCCTTTGTTTATGAGTCATTTAGAAGAATTCCTGCCTCTGTTTCTAGAATCCCATTGTCTTTAATAAAGAATTCTGTTTCAGATTTCTTACCTAGCTACGGAGACAGAAGTCTCTGTAGCGAAACACACCTCTTCATGAGGAGACCCCTCTGGTGTCGATGTGGGGGGTTACGTTGTGATTTGTGTGGGGCTGGCTTTGGCGATCTCATCCTGGCATTTAAAAAATGTGAAGGGGCATCCCCTTGTGATCGTCATCACTTTTTTTGCGTGGTTCCCGGCGACGCCGGTGCGACTACTGCATGAGGTCATCGGAAGCCCACCCCCTGGGAGAACAAAACTGGGAGAAGGCGAGAGATGCTGTCTGATGACCAAGTGAACGAAATCATCATCGAGGTCGAGAATGTGCCATCGGGGGTCCAAAGCCATCCCTCCTCAAATCAGATTGTTCCAGAAAAGACACTGGTGAACTCAAGCTTCAGCATGGTCTCCTCCATTTCTGACATTGGTGTGACGGACTCTCAGAGTTTCAGCGACTGGAATGACAAAAAGGGCAGGCGGTTGCTATGGTTTCCAACATCTTTGAATGACTCTATTTCTCAGATCCTTCATAGCCCGGAAAGCCTGGGCACAGACATTCCTTGTACTTCACATGAAAACATGCAAGGTAGCGGACCCTGGGGCAAAGAGGGTGGAGCAGGAGCGAAGAAGGCTTCCAGCTGGTCCACGGGGTTTTTCAGTTTTAAGACATCAGAAAGGTTGAAGGTTTGGTAGATGACCTGAGGATGCTAGGGACCGAGGAAGGGGTCACTTTGAGAGCATCTAACCGCTAACAAGAGCTTACCTTGGTCAAGCGCATTTCACATGCCTGGCAGGTCTGCAGGTCTGCCTGGTTCCCAAGCCTCACACCTTAACTACTGGCCTGCTTTGGTCCAATTCCTCCCCACCCTGGATTCAGCTACATAGGATGCTTCTCACTGCTAAGTCCACCGTGGAACAAGGTCTTACCTGAGACCTCCGTGCCTCACCTCCTCCTGAGGTCAAACACGGATGCTGTTTCTGTTTCATTCTCTAATACTCCAGGCATAAAGTCCAGCCGCTCTCAGTGATTTCTAAGAGAAAAAAAATCCGTTTACACCAAAGCGTTTTGTGAGTTTAGCCCTTTATCGGAGATTGGAGCATCTCTTCTTATGCTGCTGTCTCTGCATATCTCGTGTTTTTTCCTCCTCCCTCCTTCGCTTTTCTTGCTCTCTGTCTACTCCCCCTTCCCCCTCAGGAGAGATACAAATTCCTTGTCTTCAGCAGAGTGATTTGGTGGCCCTCTTGTGGGGACTCTCCCTCCACCTCAACTATGCCATTGAAATGAGGAGTTCTGGCCAGCTCCCTCGATCCTTGCCCCAGCCGGCCCCCCAGCTGGCTGCCTCCCTGTTACAAGATGGTGGCAGCAGTTCCAGGCATCACATGCGGACACACCACCACCCAGAGGCGGAAGGATCTATCTTTTCCTTGTTTTTTGAGTTTTGCTTTTTTGAGAGGGAAGAAACCTTTCCAAGAAGCTCCTCAGCAGACCACCTCTCACAGAACCATACCTGAATTGGTCAGCTGCAAGGGGGACAGGACCGTCAGGATCGGCTTGGGCCCATTAGGACCTGTCCCCAGTGCCTGGAAACGGGTCCCACCCTGCAGAAGCTCAGGGCCATGGGAGGGAGGCGAGTAAATTCCTAAACAAAATTGAGATTCTGTTAATAAGGACAGATGACTTTGGGGTAGCAACCAACAGTGTCTACCACAGTGACCCAAAATGTGGCTATGAGTTAGCGGGAGACAAGGGGGAAGTGCATTCCGGGGTAGGGGGCCGCATATGACAACAGTCAAGAAATGTAAAGAAGGTGTTTGGAGTGTGGAGGGCAAGAGAAAGTGATGCAGGAGGTTAAAGAGAAGGAGGACAGTGAGGCTGACCAAACGTGCAGAGTCTTGTTGGTTTTGCTAAACATTTGTTGTCATCGGAAAAAGGAAAACGTTGACTTGGAATTGCACGCAGACATTATCATTTGCTTTGGCTGTGAGGTTAACACCTAGGCATGCAGTCTTGTTTTCATTTGTGACCTTTGGGATCCCTGAGTCTGTATATCCTTTTCTTTTTGTGCTCTTGTGAAAACATGCTCTAACTTCAGTGCCATATTTTAAAATGCTATTATTCTGTTAAAGGAAAAAGATATGTTAAACGCTGTTTATTTTCTTCTGCAGGACAAAAGTTAATTGCATCTCTGATACCCATGACATCCAGAGACAGAATTAAAGCCATCAGGAGCCAGCCAAGGACCATGGAAGAGAAGAGGAACCTTAGGTATGGACCAAAATCCCTTCTTCTTGCCTTGATTTCATGCAAACCTCAATTTTCTGCTTTTGCCCCATCTCAGAAAGATAAGATATAAATAAACACCAGAGAAGAGACAATCTCCCTACAGGAGAACTCCAAGTAATCTTTGTAAGTGCTTCTCTCTCCTCTCGCCTGGAGCATGAGCTGTGCTTAGTGACCTGTTTCCAAAGATAGAGATGGAAAGGGAGGGAGGGTAAATTTCCAGCGGTGAAGTCTGGCTGATGCTGCCTCGGCCAGGTGATCAAAGTTAGCATCCTCAGAGATACGTGATCAGAAAGACACATGCCCTCTGTGGTACTTCTTCCTAAAACCCCTAGTCCCAGTCTAACCAGAGAAAAAAAATCAGGCAAATCCCAATTGAGGGGCATTCTACAAAATACCCAACAGTACTCAGAATTGGCAAGGTCATCAAAATTCAGGAAAGTTGGAGAAACTGTCGGAGACTAGAGGATTACAAAGAGACATGACAGCTGAATGCAATGTGGTATCCAGGATGGAATCCTGGAATGGAAAATGGACATCGGCGGAAAAGCTAGTGAATTCGGAATAGTGTGGCGCTTAGGTAATTGTAGCATACCATTGTGAGTTCCTTAGTTTTGACAAACCGACCATGGAAATGTAAGATGTTCAAGGGGAAAATGGTGAGTAGTAGAGGGGAATTTTCTATACCGTTTTTGCAACTTTTCTGTAAATCTCAAACTATTCTAAAATTAAAAGTTTACCCAAAAAAAAAAAGACCTCAGAAGCTTAACAAGAGTGAGGGCTGTTTTAGCCTTCAGACCTTACATTTACTATTCCTCAGCCTTTTTCTTTTTCTTTTTGCCATTCATAATAGTTGGTAGAAACTGATAGAGTGGATGCAATGATTGCTAATAAATAATTCCACGATGCAATTGCTCTGAGGTCGCAGAGATACATTTCAAAGTCTGGCAGGGAAGATAGACTGGTCAACAAGTAGCTTATAAATGACAGAAAGAAAATCAGACCAGTTGAAGGCCATTGCAGTGGGAGAACCAGAAGGAGTAATGCAGTGGGCTTGGGCAAAGCAGCGGGGGACATTTGGGCTGAGGCTTGGAAGATGGTGATGCGGGGATGGGCGTTTGGGGCGGACTAATGAGAACCAGAGCAAAGTAGAGGTAATAAGTTCATTGAAAGGGAAAGACGCCAACTGTGGCTAGATCTTTCTGAAAGCACTCTTCTGTTTCAAACGCTGCATGTCACCAAGTAAGGGCCTTATGATGGCCTAGAAAGACTTTAGGGCAGGATTTCTCAAGCTCAGTATGCCTGGCATTTGGGGCTGGTTCAGTCTGTCGTGGGGCTGTCACTGTAGGGCATTTAGCAGCATCCTTGGCCTCTACCCACTCGATGTCAGTAGCACCGCTCATTCCAGTTTACAACCAAAAAAGTCTCCAGATGTTGGTAAATGTGCCCTGGGGGCGAAATCTCCCTAGGGAGAGAACCACTGACTTATAGAACCATTCTCCCCCTCCCCCATGGTTATCGTTCATACCCTCCCCCCTCCCCGCTTCTCACTCCATTCCAGCCATCCTGGCCTCCTTGGGCTTCACATGGGCTGTTCCCTATGCACCGGGCTTTTCCTCTTCTGTGCCACTAACCCTTCCCCTCTCTTGAGTCTTTGCTCAAATATCTCATTATTTCAAGTTGTAACACGGCCCCCACCCCAGCATTTCTCGTCTCCTGACACTGTTCTGTTTTCCCTTTTTCTTTCCCGTGGTACAAATCACCTTCGAATATCCTATATCATTTGCCCATTTTCTTATTATATTTATTGTTTATTTTCTTTCTTTCCAAGTAGGGTGTCAGCTCCATCAGCCAGGGAAATCGGTCTCTTTATCTCACCACCTGGGACCATGCCTGGCACATCGTTGGCGCCCAGTACATATTTTGGGAAGGAATGCGTTACAGCATTGGTCACCCTCACTGTCTTCTGCTGCTCCCCACAGGAAAGTGGCTGACAGAGAGAAGAGCAAGCTCTCCCACGGTATCTTTGAGCTCAGCTGCTGCGCACAGTGTCTGAACTCCATTTCACTGGTGAGTCAGCCTTGATGGCAGTCAGTAAAATGGGCACAGCGTAGGGTGGAAATAGCGAGGTGGCAGAATGGGGATGAAGGGGGACCCACGGGGAAGAGGAACCACAATTCAGGGCTGTTCATTGAAAGCCGTAGAAACTGGGTCCGTCTAGGTGTGATGGTGCCAGGCCGGCGTGCGAAGGTCCATGAGGCACTGAGTTGTTTGGGTAAATCAGCCACTGTGCGTGTCACCTTCCACAGCAAACCTGGGACGGTAATAATTGCACTCACTTTTGGGGGTGGTCCTGCCGATTAAAGAGATAATGTTTGCAAACGGTGCCTGGCACATTGGAATGCTCTAGAAATGGTGGCTGGTTTTGCTATTGTAGGACCTGCTCAGTAGCTTTTTATTGACGGCTTGTCAAGCCACGAGTTTTGTGTCCCAACCCCAGGCATACCGGAGATCCAAGAACAGCCTGTCGGAGCTGCTCAGTTCCGTCAGCCTGTGGCAGAAGACGCTCAAGGTCATCGGAGGCAAGTTTGGAACCAGCGTCCTCTCCTATTTCAACTTTCTGAGGTGGCTTTTGAAGTTCAACATTTTCTCGTTCATCGTGACCTTCAGCTTCATCATAATCCCTCAGTTTACCATAGCCGAAAAGAACACCCTGCCGTTCACCGGGTTGGAATTTTTCACTGGGGCGGTAAGTTCTCTATGTCCCCCGCAGAATTCACCTGTCGGAAACCCAGGGACATACCTTGCTGGTCACCTTTCCTGATGTCTCAGTTTGCCCGGGAATCAACTGATGGGGACAGTGGATGTTTAAAATCCCCACCCACCAAAGTAACATATGCACAGCATAGCGGAATTTCTGTCTCCAGAGGTAGCCACGTTAATGTTTATGTTGCTGTCCACAATCCTCTTTTCTGCACACAGACGGGACACAGATGTGCATGTACATAAACATCCTTTTCTTTTCTTAAGAGACAAACTCTTCATATATACTGTCTACGACTTGCTTTCTTTCACCTAATATGTGGTGTTCATCTGCCTTTTCTTTCTTTTCAGTTTTTCTTTCTACAAAATACAATGTTCCTTTTGAAAAATTCCTACTGTCGACGCAAATAGTCAACTACCAATCTATAGGTTAGAAACATAAGGTGATGTTGATCTGACCCAAGCTGAGGACTAGCCCGGAAGTGCAGTCTCCGCCCGGGAAGAGAGCACTCGAGAAGTGTGGTTTACAGCGTGGTTATCTACCGTTTCAGAACAAACATACATCAGACACGACAGGAATACAGTTTTTTTCCCTCAAAGTCACAAGGAGATGTTTTGCTGCAGTTTAGCGTGTGCACAGCAGCCCAGGTTGGCCCTGGTTTTCTAGGAAGAAAAGCTTGTCTTCCAAGCAGTGCTGGTATTGGCATCAGAGAATGGGAGGCTCATCCCTGTCTTTAAAGAGGGCATCCTCTGCTTTGGGAAAACGTCTGAAGCAGATGGACAGTGCGTGTTTGGCAGGCCAGAAGTCAGGCTGCTCTGGGAAAAACAAGTGTTAGGCTGAATCAGTTTTAATCCAGAACGGCTTCTCCATATTCCTCAATATGTGAAAACTTTTTCTTCTTCTTTTTTTTTTGAGGAAGATTAGCCCTGAGCTAACATCTGCCGCCAATCCTCCTCTTTTTTTCGCTGAGGAGGCCTGGCCCTGAGCTAACATTTGTGCCCATCTTCCTCTACTTTATATGTGGGACGCCTGCCACAGCATGGCTTGCCAAGCGGTGCCATGTCCACACCCGGGATCCAAAGCAGCAAACCCCAGGCCACCAAAGAGGAACATGCACACTTAATCACTGTGCCACCGGGCTGGCCCTAAAAACTTATTATTCTTATTATTTTCATCACTATTATAGAAGAGAACAAACTAAGAGAAAGTTTGCTGTGCCCTTCATCCCTTGTCGAACTCTCCAGTTTGGAGTGTATCTTTGTCCACCGTTTTTCTTCCTGTACAAACATAGGTAGATACATAGATACATGCACATATATATACTTAGGTAGCTAGATAGATACACGTTCTTTTAAAAAACTGAAGGAGGGTAGGATATTACAAGTCTTGCTTTGCAACATTTTTTGCTTAACTATGTGTCTTGAGCATCTATATAAATCCACATTATTATCATTTTTAACAGCAATCATAATTTATTTACCCAGCTCCCTATGGAGGCATATAGCTCCTGCCTCGTGAGTTTCCCTTCTAGAAGAGATTTCTGCCATTGAGATTCTGTAGACTGGGGCTGGGCAGAGTGTAGCCTGAGGGCCAAATCTGGCTTGCCACCTGTTGCTGAACAGCCTGCAAACTAAGATGGGTTTCTACATTTTTAAATGGTTGAAAAAAAAATCAAAAGAAGGACAACTTTTTGTGAAACATGAAAACTATAGGAAATTCAAATTTCGGGGTCCACAAATAAGGTTCTTTTGGAACAAGCCTACCCCCACTTGTTTATGTGTCTGTGCTGCTTTCGTGCTACAAGGCAGAGAAGAGTGGCTGTGCAGTGGCGTCCTGGCCTGCCAAGCCAAAGATACGCACCATCTGGCTCTTTACAGACAGTTTGCTGACTTTTGCCATAAAATGTTCCAAGTAAGAGTCTTCCGTTCATCTTTTTTATTTCTTTTTCTGTTTAAAAATTTTTCCTTGGGATAGACACATTCAAATGGAATTATTGCATAAATTTCTCCTTAATTTTTTCTTTTTATTATGTATATTTTTATATGTGAAACATTTTATTATGAAAAATTTCAAACCTACAGGAAAATAGAGACTAGGAAAATAAACACCCATATACCTATTATGTAGGTTTTAAAGTGTTAACATTTTGCCATATTCTGCTGTATTCTTTTTGGAAGCATTTTACAGTAATTACGGACGCGGGGACATTTCACTCGGAATTTCTTCAACACGCATCTCTGAAAAATAAGGACACTCTCCCGCAATCACTGTACATTGTCACACCGAGCAAAATTAAAAATTAATCTCATCTAAAATCCAAACCACATTCAGAATTTCCCAGTTGTCCCCAAATGTCTCGCATAGCTTGCTTGTTCAGACCAGGATCCCAGGAAGGCCACACTTCGCATTCAGTTGTGTTTTTCTCTGAAGTCTCTAATAATCGAGAATAATCTCCTGAGTCCCAGGGTCCTTTTTTCTTCACATTCACTTGTTGCAGAAACCAGGTCAGTTGTCGTGTAGACGCCAATGTCCTCCCTTCTGGAATTGTCCCATTGTTGCCTCATGATTTCTCTAATTTGTTCCTCCAGCCGCTTCTTTCCTGTAAATTAAAATTTAGACCTAGAGGCTTGATTTGTTTCATATTAAACATGTGTGACCGTAATACTTCGTGGGTGACAGAGGCACATGATGGCTGGCTCTCCTGCTTTTGGTCTTGCTTCTCTTGGTCACTGGGTCCAGGCGGTGACAGCTGGGTCCCCCATTGTAAAGTTATGTTGGTTTGGGGTTCCTTTCTGACCCCGAGAGCCCCATGATAAAATGTCCAGATTCTCAGTGCCCTGGTGTGTCTGTTTCCTGGCAAAGTGTCTAAACTCACTGGTCCAAGCGTCTTGCAGACGGAAGAGGTCACCCCCTCTGACCATAGTCATTTATTGTTTTCTCGAGAGATGCCCTGACCTAGGGCTTCTTGTCCCTTTCAGGGTTATTTCCGGGACACGGTAATGTACTACGGCTTTTACACCAACTCCACGATCCAGCACGGGAAGGGCGGGGCATCCTACAACATGCAGCTGGCCTACATCTTCACCATCGGGGTGTGTTTGATCATCTGCTTCTTCAGTTTGCTGTTCAGGTACGGGGCGTCTGCCTTTCCTGATTCTAAGCTCTTCTTAGATTTAGGCAAAATTCGAGAGATCCAAAGGTTCCCCAGGAAACAGTTTCTCTGTGGTGTCGACTTTTCTATTGCTGTCTGATCGTGCCTAATAACGTGAAATATAAGTTTGGATGGAGGAAGAGAGGTTTGGGTGTTCTTCTAAAGAAATCGGTCAGTATGAAAATAAGGACGTAATGATTCACGTCTTTATGTGGATGGATAACGGTCAACTGACAATTGTCAAGCCTCTGTATTAATTTACAAGGTCTTCCATAGCAAAGTATCACAGACTGGAGGGCTCAGACCACAGACATTTATTTTCTCAAGTTCTGGAGGCTGGAAGGCCAAGATCAAGGTGTTAGTTTCTTCTGAGGCCTCCCTCCCTGGTTTGTCGACGGCCGTCTTCTCCCTGTGTCCTCACATGGTCTTCCCTCCGGGCATGTCTGAGTCGTAATTTCCTCTTTTTATAAGGACATCAGTCATATTGGATCAGGGCCCACCTTAACGACCTCATTTTAACTTCATTACCTCCGTAAAGACCCTGTCTCCTAATACAGTCACTTTCTGACGTCTTGGGGGTTAAAACTTCAACATGTGAATTTTTAGGGCTACAATTCAGTCCGTAACAACCTGGCATAACAAGCCAGAACAAAAGTTCAAAGTGAAATGAGATTTCATTTTGTCCTAGCAAACTAGGAAGTAATTCTTAAGCTGCTAGTACTCAGTGGTGGCAGATTTTGGAAAGGTCTTGTGCGTTCTCTTCAGCCTTTTTCACGTGCCAGCCTCAGTGCTGAGTGCTTCCTGGGTCTGATGTCACTGAGTCCTGCTGACGTCCCCATGATGATACAGCCGCCTTACTGCTCTGAGCGCTGTGTTGACTCTTGTGGGGGGCCGAGTAATGCCCCCATGTCCCAAAGATGTCCACATCCTCATCCTGAGAACCTGGGAATCTTGCCTTACCTGGCAAAGGGACTTTGCAGATGTCATTAAGTTCAGGGTCTTAAAATGGGCCAATGTCATCACAAGGGTCCCCTATGGGTGGGAGGCAGGAGGGTCAAAGTCAGAGAGACAGTGGAAGATGCTCCTCTGCTGGCTTTGAAGATGGAAGGGGCCACAACCCAAGGAATGCAGGTGGTTTCTAGAAGCTGGCCAAGGCAAGGCGACAGATTCAGTCCTAGAGCCTGCAGAAGGAACACAGCTTTGCCAATGCTGTGATTTTAGACCCATTTTCTGATTTCTGACCTCCAGTAAGATAAGAAGTGTGTGTCGTTTTAAGCCGCTAAGTTTGGGGCAGTGTGTTACAGCAGCCATAGGAGACTAATCCAGCTCTCATAAGAACTGTGAGGTGAGTACTGTTACTATCCCCATTATATAGATGTGGAAACTGAGGCTCAGAACAGCTAAAATGGCCAAGATGCCCCAGCTGGCGAACCAGGATGGTAAGCCAGGCCTGTCACATCCTGAAGCCAGGGCTCTTAACCATCACGCTCGCTCCTGGTCTGTTCCAGAACTTGGGGCCAACTCTCACATGTTGCCTTCCACGTTCATGACAGAACTTTCCTTTGTTCTAACCCCTGCAAGCCCAGTGCCTGTCCTAGTAACCCCTGGGTGTTTTGGTTTCTGCCTTCCTAGCATGGCGCGGTACTTCCGGAACAATTTCATTAACCCCCACATCTACTCCAGAGGGATCGCTAAACTTATCTTTTGCTGGGACTTCACCGTCACTCATGAGAAAGCTGTCAAGCTGAAACAGAAGAATCTTAGCACCGAGATAAGGGTAAGGCAGGCCTGCTTTCTGTGCCCATTCTCGCAGCCAGGCTCCCTCCTTCCTTCGGGGTGTCTGTAACTGTATTAAAGTAATAATGGGGGCCGGCCCAGTGGCACAGTGGTTAAGTGTGCATGTTCTGCTTCTTGATGGCCTGGGGTTCCCTGGTTCGCATCCCAGGTTTGGACATGGCACCGCTTGGCGAGCCATGCTATGGTAGGCGTCCCACATATAAAGTAGAGGAAGATGGGCAGGGATGTTAGCTCAGGGCTAGTCCTCCTCAGCAAAAAAAAGGAGGAAGATTGGCAGTAGATGTTAGCTCAGGGCTAATCTTCCTCAAAAAAAAAAAAAAAGTAATAATGAACTGTTTTTTATTGCCCACGAGATTGGCAAAAAAGAACTAAAAATATTCATAATGCCCAGTGCTGGTGACAGTGGGGGGAAATGGACATTTTCACTTGATGTGGTGGCTTGGTTACTGGTAAAGACTTACTAAATACTTTTTGACCTCAGAGTTCCAGGTTTAAAATTTTATCCAGTGGTTTTTGGGGCTGGCCTGGTGGCATGGTGGTTAAGTTCGCGTGGCTCTGCTTTGGCAGCCCGGGGTTCACAGATGCGGATCCCAGGCGCAGACCTAGCACAACTGATCCAGCCATGCTGTGGTGGCGTCCCACGTGAAAGAGGGGAAGATGGGCACCGATGTTAGCGCAGGGCCAGTCTTCCTCAGGCACAAAAAATTTATCCAGTGGTTTTCAACTGTGGTTCAATTTATTCAGTGGTTTTGCCCCTCAGGGGACATGTGGCGATGTCTGGAGATTTTTTTGGTTGTTACCAAATTGAGGAGTGGGCGCTACTGGCATCTAGCTGGTAGAGGCCGGAGATGTGGCTGAACATCCCGAAATGCACAGGACAGCTGCTGCCACACAGAATTATCTGGCCCCAAACATCAACAGTGCTGAGGGTGAGAAATCCTGGTCTATAGAAAAAAACTTATGAAAAAGAAAGAGCGGGCGGAATTTACAAGCCAAGGGGCTTTGACAAGAGGACTGCAGACGCTAGCTTCTTCCTTGGTGTAGACACCCAGCCTCGTTCTTCAAGCTCTGCGATCTCAGTGTCCTTTCCCTAGGAGCACGCTTCCAGTCTGTTCGTCCTGGCTGTTCCCCTAAGATGGAGAAGGCGTCTGAGGCGGGGATGGGGGTTCTTGGCTCATTTGAGATTTTCCCGCGGAGATTTTCACGGGGAGACCCACAGTCCATCTTCATGGTGAACTTCCCCTCTATCTCGCCTGTGGATCTGGGGTGGATTTGAGTCTCTGGGAACGGCGAGTATCCACCGGGGTCGGGAGGGGTCTTTGCTAGCAGTGGAGGGGGCTCTGTGAGTGAACTTGACTTGCTTGCGTTTACAGGAGAACCTGTCCGAAATCCGTCAGGAGAATGTCAAGTTAACGCTCAATCAGCAGCTGATCCGCTTCTCTGCCCACCTGGCAGCCTGGGTTGTCTCTACCGGGGTGGCCATCGCCTGCTGTGTAGCCGTTTATTACCTGGCTGACAACAACTCCCAGGTAACCAGAAAGCTAGAGGCCTGGGTCCAGGCAAAGGGAGGGGGTGCTGGAGGGGCGCGTGGAGGCGAGCCCGCTGCTCAAACTGGGGTCCGTGGCCAGCAGCATCGGCGTCACCTAGAGGCTTGTTAAATAGGCAGACTCTTGGGTCCCTCCCTCTGCAGACTCAGAATCTGCATCGTCACATTGTCCCGGGTGACGCGTGTGCTCTGGGCTAGTGGAGAAGTAGAAATTTCGGCCGCAGACCTGGCATCAAGTTCTGGTTTCTTCCTTTATTATCACATCCCTAATGCCTCCCACAGCCCCCAGCACCGAGTAGACAATAAGTCTTGTGACCTGAGGGATGTTGGTGAGTTATTTCATCTTTCCGAGCCCGGAATTCCTCACCTGGAACATGGGCCTGATTTCACCTGGCTCTGTAGGTGTGTGGTCAGGACCAGAGAAAAGTTATGTGGAGTCTCCCCAGCGCCTGGCTCCGTGGGTGCGGAAGGAATGTTCGTTCTTTTAGTTTTCATGATATAACTGAGTCTAATTTAACTAGGTAGTCTGGGCAAAGTACTGTTTTTCCATAGTTTCATCTTTCTCCTCTGGAAAATGGGGCTCATTGTAGCCAGTTTGCTGACCTCTAGAATCGTGGTGCAGGTTGGTCTGATGGTGTCACTTTCTTTAATGGCTTCCCGTTGCCCCCAATATAAAATCTGTCCTCCGTGGCTTGATTGATAGATCTTTTGTGATCTGACCCCTGCCCACACATCTCTACCTACAACACCCCACAACACTCACGTCCCACACCAGCAACACTAAATGGCGTGTCCATAGTTCCCTAAACACACCATGCTTTTCCTTATCTCTAGGCAGGAAACATGCAGTTCATTCTCCACTCCCCACTTCCCTTCGTGTGGCAAACTGCTCCTCCTCCTCTAGACCTCAGCATGGGTGATGCCTCCTCCAGGAAGCTTTCTCTCACCAACGCCACCCTCACTAAGCTGCGTTAGATGCCCTTGACTCTGCAGGCTGTCCCTGTGCACTTGTCACATGCAGCATTGAAAATGCTTGTTCACACATCTGTTTCTTCAAAAGACTGTAGCCAGGCACCTGGCCAATGCCTGGTATACAGTAGGTGCTCAACCAAACAGATGACCAAGTGGAGGAGCGGCCAGCAAGAAAAAGGGTGTGGGATTATACAAGCCTAAGGATTTGCCCCTAATGATACGAAGGTGTGCCCTGAAAGGGAGAAACCGAGTCACAGTCCTCAGGGGCCTGGCATTGCCTACCTAGGGTGGGAGCTGTGACAGGGCAGCTGTGGTCTGAGTTTCTTCGTCATCCGGCGGGTTTTCTCCACGCCCCCCTGAAGTGATGGAGGGCCCGAGGAGGAGGGGCAGTGGGAGCAGCCCGCTGTTGGAGCACCTGCCGCTTGCCTGGCAGGCTGGGTCAACTGCACGCCTCCCGCGGCCACATTCATTGGCAACTATAGTTTCACCTGAACTGTGCCCTCGGCTGTGTCGTTTAGGGACCAGACCTCACCTGATTTGGTCTCCTTTAATTCTTGCAAGGTCTCTGTGCATTATGTGACATTCTCGCATTATGCAGACAGGGAAAGCAGCTCCGAGGAGCTATGCACCTGACCTAGACCTTGCAGCTTATAATCGCAGGGTGGGGGCAGCATTTGAACCCAGGCTACACTCTGTTGTGAGACATCAGATAAATCAGCTGTCATCCCCCACTCCAAGGATGCTGGCAGAGGGGCAGCCCAGCAGCCTCCCCTCCGAGCCGGACGCCACAGTGGCGTCCACATGAAGGAAGGGGACCTCATACTAAGGTGTGGCGTGGCTCGCCTAGGCTCCCCTTCCTCCTAGTTGGGTGACCCAGGACAGGCAGCGCCTGGTGAAAACGAACAAGGCCGGGCAGGAGAGGGCCGGTGAAATTCCATGGTGATGGGTACCCTTGTGCTGTAGCTTCGCAGACTCAAGCCTTTGCTCCAACAGCCGGGGAGCACATTCTCGTTTCCCAGACCTCTTTGTAAGGAAAGGAGAAGTCACCGAATGGCTGTCTGAGTTCAGGTCCCTGAGTCAGATAGACCTGGCTTCAAATCTGCCACTTCCTGGCTGGGTGACCCTGGGCGAGCGTCTTCACCTCTCTGAGCCTCGGTTTGCCCGTTAGTTAAGTCTGTTGAGACCCACCTGCTGGGCTGCAGGGAGGATAATGGAGTGAGTAACGCTTGGTGCAGGGTGAGCGCTCAATGAACGGTCGCTTCATAGCTACCCCCGGAGGAGCTACTTCTGGGCTCTTTCCATCGTGGGGGGTTCTTCCGAGGGAGGCAGAGAGGGGGTCCAGCACGCAGCGGGCGTCTTGCTTCTCTCCCTGCGTGCCCTGCAGTTCCTACAGAGCCACAGGAACCCCGGCGCGGTGCTGCTGCTGCCTTTCGTCGTGTCCTGCATCAACCTGGCCGTGCCACGCTTCTACTCCATGTTCGGGCTGGTGGAGCGGTATGAGATGCCGAGGCACGAAGTCTATATCCTCCTCATCCGGTAGGTGTGTCGCCTCCGCCGCTAGCCTCCGTCTCCGCGGAGGGAAATGGGGTGGGAGCTAGAAACGGTTACGCTCGAGTACCAGAGTTCTGTTTTCCAGAGAGAATTTCAAGAGTACAGTGTGTTCGTGTGATGTGGGTTAACAGCCGTAAAATCCAAAGAGCCCTGAGAAGATACAGTGACTGAATACATCCGCCTTTTGCTCAAAGTAAAATTCCCAATTGCTGCCAGCCTGAGGATTAGCATAGTTCTCAGTTATGAGATGTACAGATGTGCAGGTTGTGCACTGCACAAAGGTTCCTGGCTGAGTTGTTGTGTAGGGACTGAAATCATCCAGTGTTTGCATGAGTCAGACTTTGAGCTATGATACCCTCTGCATCAGTCAGGGGGAGGAGGTACATTTTTGTAATTCAGCCACCCAAAAGGAGGTGGAGAAAGTGCTTTGGGCCATTCATGGGCTGAGAGGTGGTGCCTTTTTGTGATTCCCACAAAGGCATTATGTGTGCTAGATGACCCTGAGGTTTTCAGAAACAAAGCATACAACCACCCAAATCGTGTCCTTATTGCTTCTTCTTGGCTGGTTCCCGGGCCTGTTCCTGTCTATGGTGGTGTTTATAGTAATAGGGCTGAACAAAGCAAAGGGAGTTTCTTTCTGGATCAGTCCCAGAGCCCTTGCTTTACCATGGCCTCGGGGATCTGACTCCTGGCCAGCTGTCCAACCTCATTTTCCACCCCTCTCCCCCTTCCTTACCACTACCCCCACTCCCCTGCAGCCTCACTGGCTTTCCAACTGTTCGAAAACATGCCAGCTACATACTTACCTCTGGGCCTTTGCACTGGCCATTCCTTCTTCCTGGGATGCTCTTCCCACAGATGGCATATCTGTGCTTACATCTATGTTTCTAGTTTCTCTATGCAGATCTCACACGTTTTTGTTACTCTTAAATTTATGACAAGGATATTTAAAAACGCACACACACTTACATACACATGTATGTTTTAGGTCAGGACCTGACACACTGCAGCCTGCAGACCCAGCCTGCTTCCTGTTTTTATAAATAAAGTTTTATTGCAACACAGCCATGCCTATTCGTGGACATATTGTCCATGCCGCCCTCCTGCTACAGCAGCAGACTTGAGTAGTTGCGACGCAGACTGTGGCCTGTGATGCTGAAAGTATTTACCATCTGGCCCTTTACAGAAAAAGTTTGCTGACGCCTTTTTTAGATCAGTGTTTAGAGTTAATCTATATATGCGTTATTCTCCTGAAGTAAAAAACCTTAACAAGCCTTCCCTTCTCCCCACCCCACCCCACCCCATCGAAAGCCTCCCCTCCCTGGTAGAAACAACTGGGACTTTTTTTATTGTCGTAAATATGTTTATAGATATAATATGCCATTTTAACCACTTTTAAGTGTTCAATTCAGTGGCCTTAAAAGATTCATTTTTTTACCGTGTGCATTAACAGTAAGTTTCACTGGCTTCTTTGCTCACCAGTGTTTGCTTACTTACAACTTCCTCTTGTGTCGAAAGAGAAGGCAAGATGTTGTTTTAGGTGGGTCGAGGGATGGTCAAATTTCTCAGTACTTCCGTGTTCAAACGTATCTTTATTTCGCTTGTCTACTTGAACATGAGTTTGGAGGGCCCCAGACTGTGTTCTGACTACCCTCTTCCCGAGTCTACAGGGGTTGCTCTGAGACTTTCTAGCATCCAGTGTGGGCACATAATTCCCCAGCTGCCCTTCTAGTTCCTTCCTATTGGCATCTTGAAGCTCCAGGAGTCCCCAGACCTACCTCTGCCTCTGAGGCTGTCTTCCGCCAAATTTGTTTTAAGCTGGGGTTTTCTCCAGCCTTATTTCTCCGTCAACCACCTTCGTCTTTTTATCTTTCTAGCCTTTATTTCTGCTTTCTCTATTCCATAAGTCCCTTTACATTTCTGGTCTGTTCGTGACTTTCTTGTTTTGCGATGCTTGATGGATCCTTCAGCTTCTAACGTTTCTCTCATTTCAACAGAATTCGGATGGAGCAGTGGGAGGCCTGTGTGTCAGCATCCTATTGTGATCCAATCACTTTATTTAATTTGCATTTTTCTGATGACTAGTGTTATAGAACCAGGTTCGTTTTTGCCCACCGCTCAGAAAGCCAGACACTGAGATGACGAGATTGCAGCAGCCAGAGGGTTTACTCACAAGGCAGCCACGTGAGGAAACAGGAGAATGAATCTCAAACCCACCTTCCTAGTAATGGGGACTCAGGGATATTTATGGGGTAGGGGGGGCAGGGTGGTCTGAAATGTGGAGAGAGGTGATTGGAGGTGAGGAGAGGTGAGGTCACTGATGATGTGCGCAAGCGTAGTCAGACTCCATGCCTCTTCATAGGACGCATGCTCACAAAATGGCGCATTAGCATGATCTAAGGGTGGCGTTTTTAGCGTCTTGACGTCAAAAGGTAGCTTATCGGACATCTGCATGGGCCCAGTTGATGAGTTGGTGGTCTCAACTGGCCTCAAGTGGACAAGGGGTTCTAATTCCTGAAAACAGCTTACATACCCATTACCATGGCGACCCAGGCTCCAGCGAGATGTTATCTAAGGAAGCTAGTGGGAGTCAGATGGCATGTTGGCTAAACAGCACAGTTAAGGATGGGCGAGGGAACAGCTAAAAGCTATAATCTGTAAAAGGAAAAGGAAAAAGAACTTTAGTTACTAGCTACTTTTCAATGGCTAACTGTTTGCTGGTTTCACTAGAGACGTTCATTGTCTTAATATACACTAGCCGTTTGTAATGCTTCACGAAACATTCAAAATCTTCTCCACATGAACAGAAAATGGGGAAAGCTCAGAAATACACAGTCTAATCTATGATAAGCTTTTCTCAGCTTAGAAGAGTGTGATGGCTTTTCTTGGCTGAGAAGAGTGTGTTTTCAAGTACACTGCCATAAAGGTGTATAAATTATGTTCAGACACCAATTCCGACATGTGAAGGTGATGCGGGCTCAGCGAGCCGAGGAGTCAAAAGAAAGATTTCTTGGACTCTCAAGGTCTGGCAGTAGTGCTCTTTTATTTAGAGCATAGCATGGAAAAGCATGGGGACAGGACCCATGGGCAGTCAGAACTGCTGCCAACATGGGTTGTGGGTAGGGCTAAATTTAAGGCATAGGTATGTGAGTTATCTCTTTACAAGACAAAGGAAAGAATATGTAAAAAAGTCGTTACAATGGTATCAGTGCAGGTGGGGTCTGGTTATTGGGTGGTCCTATAACATTTAGATAAGAATCAAACCAGATTAAGTAAATGGCTGAAGCCACCACCTTAAATATTATTTTTAGCTAAAGACAAAGGAGGATGTTGGGGATGGAGGGGGAGTGATCATGGGAGATTACCACACAAGTACAGTAAACAAGATGCAGATTGAAGTCCTTGCTTTTGGCATTGATTAAGAGTTTCTAGAGATAAGGTCATCCCCCCTTCTTCCCAGTACAGAGAAGGAGACACCTTTACAGATGGAGATTTCCTTTACAATGTAAACGTCTCTTAACAAAGGGGAAGTAAATTCTACTCCTCAGAGCCTCCCTCCCGTCTGCAGTTTTTCAAAGTAACCAGCCTAAAATAATCCTCATCAGAGGTTTTGCCACCCCGCCAAGCAATTCCCCAACATGAGGCGGGTGTCCTACCGTTTCACTCAATTCTGACACTGTCTACCTGGAGATTCCACGGGATAAGGGTTCAGTCCTACGAGACTCTTCCCTCTCCCCCACTTCAGCCCCCAATCGCAAGTTCAGGTTGTTACCCATAATCCTGACCGACCGGCTGTAGATGGGAGGGTCCAATGACCCCCTCTTCAGGTTTGATTAATTTGCTAGAGTGGCTCACAGAACTCAGAGTAACAGTTTACTTACTAGATTACCGGGTTATTCTAAGAGGATATAAGTCAGGAACAGCCAGGTGGAAGCGATGCATAGGGCGAGGTGTGGGCAACGGTCATGGAGCTGCCATGATCTCCCCAGGTGCCCCACTCTCCCCCCACCTCCACGTATCCTCCAGGCTGGAGGCTCTCCCAACCCCATCCTTTTGGGTTTTTGTGGAGGCTTCGTTACAAAGGCAAGATTGACTAAATCATTGGCCTTTGGCAGTCATTCAACCTCTGGCTCCTCTCCCCATCTCAGAGGTCAGGGGGTGGGGCTGAAAGTTCCAGCCCCCTAATCACACGGTTGGTTCTCCTGGCAACCAGCCCCCAGCCTTAGGGTGGTCCAAAAGTCACGTCATTAACATAACAAAAGACACCTGTATTGCTCTCCTCACAGGACATTCCAAGGTTTTAGGAGCTCTGTGGCAGAAATGGGGACGAAGACCAAATACACATTTGTTACAAGTCACAATATCGCAGATTACTAAGGCGTTAACACAGGAGATATTGAGGGTCTACACAGGACTGGGCACTGGGCAGAGTCGGGGATCTGGCACTGAAGAAGCCTGATCAGATTCCCTTCCTTCACAGTGGAGGGTGTATCAGTCAGAATAAATTACATTATGCTGCAATAACAAATATCCCCCTCCCTTGAATCTGAGTGGCTTGGAACACAAAGGTTTATTTCTTGCTCGTGCTACATGTGCATTGTCGCTTGGCAGGGGGTTTTACTCATGTTAATCATGCAGGGATCCAGATGGAGAGGGCAGCAACCTTCTTGAATACTGCCCGTGGCTATTCCAGAGGGAAGACAGTGAGTTCTGCAAGGTCTTGCTGGCATTTAAATGCTCCAGTCTAGAAGTGACAAAAAATGATGTATGTTACTTCTGCTCACGACTCATTTGCCAGAACCAGCCAGATGGCAGAACCAGCCCATTCAAACCACAGGGGGGACAGGAATTTCATTCCTACCACGTGCCCAAAAGGAAATATTGGTGAATAGCACTAATGACTGCCATGGAAGGTAATGAGAGTTGTTTTCTCTTCTGTTGTTAGAAACATCTTTCTGAAAATATCAATCATTGGAATTCTTTGTTACTATTGGCTCAACATTGTGGCCCTGGCTGGTGAAGAGGTGAGATTTCCATGCTGTTCCACCTTAAGTTCGGTTTCTTAGCTGCTGACCACCAGGGAGGAAGTGAGTTTCTCAAAAGTTGCTGCTCATGATATTAGAACGGATGTCATGTTATTTTTCCATCCATCTGTCCACCCATTTATTCATCCATCCATTCATTTATCCATCCGTCCATCCATCTAACCATCCAGCAACCATCCGTCTATCCACTCATTCATCCATCCTTGGGCTGGGCACTGCAAACATCCCCCTCCTCATTCAGCCAAATCTAAAAGCCCCCAGTTCATCGGCTCTTAGTACTGACTTCCTGCTGGGGTTATTGACCATCAGCTTCGTAAACTGACTCATTCAAACTTCCAGTTGGTGCTAGCCCGCTAAACCTCTAGGCCACTTTCTTAAGAAGGAGATATTAAGTGATTTTTCGTAAAGTCAATAAGCAAAAAAAAAGGGGAGGCATTCTTAGCCATTGACACCTCCTGCTCTCCTGAAGGCATTGCTGAGCGCTGGCTGAGGAATGGGATCCAGAGGGCGTAGGACAGAGATGAGAAGTGTTAAGAGGAGAGAGAGTGAGAAGGGCAAGTTTGGCTACCTGTGGATGGAGGGCAAGCCTTAATGGGGGAAGGGGGTGCACAGAAAGGAATAAACACCCTGAAAGCAAACTCAGCCTAATGGTGCATTTCTGCCGAGAGGGGCTCTGCTTTTCTGGGTATATAAGGACGTGGTCCAACTGAGCCACCAGCCACGTCCTAGCGAGTGCAGGGCGCCAGGAACCGATGGGAACGGAGCGGAGGCTGCAGCAGCTTCCTGGATCCTGACTCTTGTTTGCCTTGCAGTGTTGGGAAACCTTCATTGGTCAGGAAATCTACCGGCTCCTTCTGATGGATTTCGTGTTCTCTTTAGCTGATTCCTTCCTGGGGGAGTTCCTGCGGAGGTAAATATTTGTCCATCTTGAGTAATTAGGACCTGACCTTGTAACCAGAGCCTGTCTTGGCTGAGCAGGAAGTATGGGTCCCGTAAGTACTCTAAGTGTGCATTGTTCTAAGTCTGCGTATTGTCCCTCCACATACCAGTTTCTCCCAAATTAACTGAAATTTCACCTTGACCTGACAGTCCTGTTGCCAAAGTTCGTTTGGTCCAGTTGGCCCTTGACAACCTTCTCTTGAAAAAACAAAAATGTTCTAGAATAAAACAGAAATGGAGCCCTTTGAGATCTTATCTACCATAGATAATTTTAATATTCTAGTGTATATTCCTTCACATTTTTCTATGCACATACTGCTTCGCGTGTGTTTATATACTACATAATTTTCTAAGACAGAAATGGGGCCACATGGCATCTTTCCATGCCTGTACATGTAGATTTATCTCATTGTTTTCACTGATTTTTTTTTAATGATACGGTGAGGACGATTGGCCCTGGGCTAACATCTGTTGCCAATTTTCCTCTTTTTTTCTTTTCTCTTCCCAAAACCCCAGTACACAGTTGTATATCCTAGTTGTAAGTTGTTTTCACTGATTTTAATTAATGTACTAATTTTTATTTTAGAGCCCAGGTGTGCGGAATTGGGGCAGTGTCATCACTGGCCCATGTGTGGTCCTCTTTTATTTATCCATTTATTTTTAAATAATGTGATGAGCGTCTCCTTCCTTGTAGATGTGCCTGTATGTCTGTAAGCTGCCCTCGTGATGAGAGGGCGTGACACAAGGCTGATTTTTTCCTCCAGGGGGAGGTTGAATGCTGAATTTCCTCATTCAATCTGTGCAAACTCACTTTTATTCCAGTCTCTGTTCAACGTCCGGAAATAAACGTGAGAAGGGTTTTGTTGACAGCAACTTTTTATTGGCAACTCTTCTGTATGAGGAAATCAAAGTTGTCTCCAGTTTCCCTGAGTAAATGGAGACCTTGGTTTCCTCCTTGTGGATTAAGAAAACAAAGAAACCCCATTAATTCAATAGCAGTAACCAAAACCTGAAAAATTTGCAGTTTATTTGAGTTAGGAGGTGCTAAGCTTATCTGGTTCCTGAAAAAAAAAGTTTAACAAAGAGTGATATAAATGAGATAGCAGATGGGATCATTTAAATAATTATCTTATTTAAATAATATCTATTATTTATAGTTAATTATTTAAATCATAGGTGGGATAATTTAAATAATGTCTTCTAGAATTCTTTTACACGACTGTAGCAGTACGCCCATTTGAATGCATTGGGTTAATTCTATTTTCCCTCGATGCCCTTAATTATTTCTTCAAAACCATGCTTATACTTGGAATTTTTCAAAAACTTGCAAGGGGACTTAGGCCTTTATTCCAAACTGGTGAAGGTCTCCTTTATTGATTGTGGGGAATCTTTTGAAGGAGGGGGTTGATGGTTTGGGTGCTAAACTCAGTATGTTTTCGCAGAATCATCGGGACGCGGGTTTTCACAAGTCTTGGCTTGCAGGAGTTTGACATTGCCAGGAACGTCCTGGAACTGATCTATGCACAAACTCTGGTGTGGTGAGTTTTGAGAATTGGAGGGTGCCCAGTGGTTCCCGCCTGACTATGGACTCAGAGTTTCGGTGGCGAGCCCCAGAATCTGTTGTTTGTAAAGCCACACGACTAATACCAAATCCAGCCAGTCTGAGAGCCGGGAATTTATGTCCCAGACTATGCTCGTCCTTTATGAGGACTTTGGGCAAGAATCGCCATAGGGCAGGCTCTCAACCCGGAGGCCCCCAGGTTGTATCCAGCTTGCAGGTGTGTTTTGCTTTTCCCACACAGTGCTGCTTCTAAAGATTTGAATTAACCACCAATATTTAAAAACCAGGAGGTAGACCATAAAATTTAAAATTTCTGGCTTCCTTCCAAAAAAGGAAAGATCTAGACTATCTGCCATTATGGTAACAGTTGGCTGGGCCTTGAACTGGGGCGAGTGGCTCCATTTGTCACAGTCCCCACCTTGAACTATTATCTCCCCAACACTGATTTGCCATCTCTCATTGTCCTCATGCTGTTAGTTTTCTTATGGTAGAAAACTTTACTTTACCTTGAGGTCTTAAGAGAAGTGGGAAAATAAAGAAAAGCGGAGAGGGGCTGTGTGCTTCTGATGCCTGGCTGGCTTCAAGCACTGATGTCCTACCTGGTGGGCCCTCTGTAGCCTTTGGGCTTTGTGACCTCTGTTTAGCAACTGTGTCCGTGCATATGTACGTGTGTGCGACTCTGTTTTGGGACTCGCCAGCTAGTTGCATCAAATTTTTCATGAGCTCAAACCAATAGTAACTCAAACCAATAGCCAGTGACTATTTTACTTATTTATTTTAACCTGGTGTAGTAAATGCCAGAATTCCATGTAGTGCATTACATTCCTAAATTCCATCTGTTGGGGGGTTGCTAATTTGGAAGTAGAGGATTTGGACTTGAATAAACTTGGATTCTGGGGCTGGCTCTGTCACTCACTGAGGTCAGTGAGCTTCTCTGACCCTCAGTCTCTTCATCTGCAATATGAACATCATAATAGCTACCTTCGAACTGTGTTGAGGATTAAGTCAGATGATATGTGAAGACTGCTTTGCAGTCTCCAATATGCCATACAACTGTGCAGGGTTTCATTTTCCGACTCTTTACAGTTGCCCTGGGTGATTTGGCTATCTGCAGATTACTCACTAATGCCAGTGACTTTATTTTTAGAGGTAGCGAGGACTTGTTCTTTGTGTGGTTTATGTGATTTGCATACTCTCATGTCACCCCCTGGCACCTGGGCAGCTGACAAAGGCCTTTCACCCACATTATTTCAGCTAACAGGATGCCTTTGGGCAGGTTACATAAACTCTCTCTAAACCTTAGCTTTCTGACCTATAAATGGGGGAGCTAATAGTGCGTACATCCCAGGGTTTTGCTGAGGATTAAATGAGAAAAACGTATGCATTAAGTGCTGGTGAGTACCTGACTCAGAAATGTTTTTTTTATTGTGGTTTTTTTTGGTTAGGAAGACTGGCCCTGAGCTAACATCTGTTGCCAATTTTCCTCTTTTTTTCTTTTCTCTCCCCAAAGCCCCAGTACACAGTTGTATATCCTAGTTGTAGGTCATTCTAGTTCTTCTCTGTGGGATGCCGCCATGCATGGCTTGATGAGCAGTGTGTAGGTGTGCCAGGATCCAAACCAGTGAACCGCGGGCCGCTGAAGCAGAACACGTGAACTTAACCACTATGCCACCATGCTGGCCCCAGAAGTGTTTTATAAGTGGGGATATTATGGCTGTTGTTATCCTTATGAGCACACATTTCAAAAATTGTGGTAAAAAACACATAGCATAAAATTTACCATCTCAACCATTTTTAAGTGTATAGTTCAGTTGTGTTGGGTATATTGACATCATTGAACAACCAATCTCCAGAACTTTCTCACCTGGCGAAACTGAAACTCTGCCCCTTAAACACTAACTCCCCATTTCCCCTCCCCCCAGTCCCTGCCACCACCATTCTACTTTCTGTTTCTGTGAGTTTGACTGTCTTAGATGCTTCATGTAAGCGGAATCACACAGAATTTATCTTTTTGTGACTGCCTTATTTGACTTAGCATAACCTCCTCCAGCTTCATCCATATTGTAGACTGTAATGGAATTTCCTGTCCTTTTTAGAGCTAAATGATATTCATATTATTCATATTGCGTGAATATGCCACATTTTGTTTATCCGTTCATCTGTTGATGGACACTTGGGTTGCATCCACCTCTTGGCTGTTGTGAATAATGCTGCTCTGAACATGGGTGAACAAATGTCTCTTTGAGACCCTGCTTTCAATTCTTTTGAAGTGGAATTGCTGGCTCATATGGTACTTATAAGCACTCTTAAGTTTTTTAATAAGTAATGTGCATAAATCATCTGGCATGGCAATAATAATATTGCTCCCTTTATTAACTACTTACTTTGGCCAGGTTTTTGCATCCTAGAGCCCCAGCCTTCATATTCTTGACCATTCGATGGAGGTTCCACAGGGAAATGTTGGCATTGAGGGGGGAAAAGTTACAATCGGAGATGGCCATGGTTACTTCCAGGCCTTTAAGATTTTTGTTACTAAGTCGCAGATAAGCACAATTGAAAACACACATCTCTTTTCCTTTCTCTGTGACAATTATAGATTTACCCTCTGTGGGTTTTAGGAAAATATTGTTTTTGACGATGAGCTTTAAAAGATAATATAACAGAAATTGAGCGTGCGTTGGGGATGATGGCAGAGATGAGGTGAGGAAAGTGTTTCTCAAACTTCAGTCTTTTTGTACACCAGCCTGCCTATTTTTGGGCATATCTGTTTTTTCACTTAGTATTATCTTTTAAATTGTTTGCCTTTTTTTGACTTGCATACATTTTTAAAGGAGTCTTTATTTTACAATCATAGATGGAAAAACCAGTATCACTTGACAGAAATTGCCAATAGCTCGAAGAATAAAATGGATCCCTTCGTGAACACTCATTAAAATCTAGCTAGATGCTGCTGTCTGTCAAGGCGCTCAGTCTAAAACTGCTCCTTTTTAAAAAAAATGGGAGGTTGGCGAGCGTTAGGAGTTATGTTCTATCAGAGAACTGCGACTTCCTTCTCCGGGCACTCCGGGGCCCTGAGGGGGGTGGGAGGGAGTGCCCTTCTCATTTGTGACTTAGTGCGGGTTAAGGCCTGTCCCTGCAGGACCTGGGACCTTCTCCAGTGCCACGGAGGGAGGAGGGGGACGTGTCCCACATCAGGGCACCTAGGTTAGGGCTCGTGGAAGGCCATCCGGAGTTCAGTGGCTGCGTGGGGAGGGTGCTCTGCAAAATTTCTTTCTCCAGAGGCGGGCAGAGAGCAGCCGTGGACCTTGGGTGCGGGGGGACGTGCCTGGTTGGCTGTGGGGGAGGCAGTCTCCCTCTGCGTTCGTTTGTTACGGCTGCCACAACAAGGTGCCACCCTTGGGGGGCTTAAACAACGCCCATTTGTTTCCTCACAGTTCTGGAGGCTGGAAGGCCAAGATCAAGGCGCTGGCAGGGTTGGTTTCTCCTGAGGCCGCTCTCCTTGGCCTGTAGGTGGCGCCTTCTCCCTGCATCTTCACACCGTCTTCCCTCTGTGTGTGCGTGCATCTCTTCCTTCAAGGGCACACGTCATATTGGATTAGGGCCCACCCTAGTGACCTCATTTTACCTTAATTACCTCTTTAAAGACCCTGTTTCCAAACACAGTCAGAGTGTGAGGTACTGGTGGTTAGGACTTAAATGTGTGAATTTTGTAGGAATGTGATTCAGCCCATGGCACCCTCTTTCCCTTCCCTCCGCACCCATGTCTGCCCCCACTCCCGTGTCTCCCTGGTCTCTGACACTCTCTCTCCCTCCTAGGATCGGAACCTTCTTCTGTCCTCTGCTGCCCTTTATCCAGATGATTACTCTTTTCATCATGTTTTACGTCAAAAATGTGAGTCAGTCTAAAGTTGGAACAAATCAGCTTTGCTCAGTCACGTGTGACCCAGTGGTGGCTGGAATTGGGTGCTGGGGGCCGGGGGCACTGGGACGGGTGTGAGGAAGCCGGTGGCTGGCTGGGTCCCTCTGGCCTGCTCCTCGGGCCACGGTGGCTGCTTCTCTTTCTTCAGATCAGCCTGATGATGAACTTCCAGCCTCCGAGCAAAGCCTGGCGGGCGTCACAGATGATGACGGTCTTCATCTTCTTGCTCTTTTTTCCATCCTTCACCGGGGTCCTGTGCATCCAGGCCATCACCATCTGGAGGTAGGAGATGGTGGCCTTGGAGTGAGGTTTTAGAGAGGCGGTGGGTGAGTGTCCTAAAATGTAGGTTTTTTTATCATTCAGGTTTGGTGAGGTCGACCGATCAGGAGATGACTGCCATTGACAGGATAGTTTATACTCACAGATCCTGAGAAGAGGGCTCACACCACGCCATGGGGGGCCACATGAGGAGGCACCAGGGCCAATCAGGAGGCAGAGAGAGTGAGGATAAAATGTGGGCACGAGCTTTTTTCTTTTTTTTGAGGAAGATTAGCTCTGAGCTAACATCTACTGTCAGTCCTCCTCTTTTTCTGCTGAGGAAGACTGGCCCTGAGCTAACATCCGTGCCCATCTTCCTCTACTTTTTATACATGGGATGCCTGCCACAGCATGGCTTGCCAAGCTGTGCCATGTCCGCACCTGGGATCCGAACCAGCAAACCCCGGGCCGCCAAAGCGGAACATGCACACTTAACTGCTGCACCACCGGGCCAGCCCTGGGCACAAGCTTTTATTGTGGGTTACATGGGAAGGAACAGGCGAGGCAGGGTGAGCAGATTAGGAGTGGTTGTTTGGAATAATTTCAGTGGGCTCTGGGGCATTGGGGCCGTTTGGAGTTGCCTGGTACCTGGTCCGGCATGAGTGGGGCCCTGAGGAATGGTGGCCCAGAGAGTGGGAGCCTGATAGAGGACATCGTGGGGGTAGGATGTGGCCCCCGGTTGGTTGGTTGGTTTGCATATAAAAGACACATTTGCAGGCTAACCCTGGGAAGGGCAGTCTCTGCCGTGTCAGCAGGGCGCCAGATATCAAAATACAGTAAAATGACATGTTTAATTCAGTGTTTAACCCACGTTTCCCAGTAACCAACAGACACTGCAATCAAGGGAGGGGTCACATCCTAGTTTGGGCACCACCCGTCAGGCGCCCACGGTCCTGACTGGTACAGCTTCCTTACTTCCTCTAAGCGCTGAAGCTTCTCAGAATAGGGAGAGGCCCGTTCCTCCACGTGGAGAACAGAACTTCATGCAAATGAACCCAGAGGCCCTGTCTGGTCAGGCTCCCCCCCTACCTCTCCACCTCAGCCCCTTCGGTTCCACACTGCGCAGCCCCTGGGCTCTGGCTCCATCCTGGGAGCCCGCGCGCCCTCCCCACGCAGGCAGGTCCTCTGTTTGAAGTGTTCTCCTCACTCCCTTTGCTTGGCGGCCTTCTTTCCATCTCAGCTCAAAAGCCATCTCCAAGATCTGACTCGACAACCATCCTCGTTTACTGTCAGCTCCACCTCTTCTCTCCCGCCCGCGGCAGGTTCTTGTCTTCCTTCTATGGTGCCCAGGCAGAAATGCCTTCGTCTGAATCCCGGTGTCATTGTTTACTCACTGGGCAGGGACCGTGTCCGTCTTGTTTCCTGTGGGATCTCCAGGGCACGGTGCCTGGTACAAGTGAGATAAACCTCTGTGGAATGAATGAATGAAGAAATGAGCCAACGAACGAACAAACCGGGCATTTGATTTTTAGGATGCACGTGGAACTGGAACCACTGGAAGACAGGGGTTCAGGGCAGGCTACTCTGTTCCGCGAAGTCCTTGCTCCTCTCTCTGTGTCTATTCTCTTTTTTCTCTCTTCCTAACCAGCTCCATGCTGCCTTCTAGTTTCTACCCCTTTCTCACAATTGATTGCACATGGCCATCACTGCCACAGCTCCAGCTTCCATAGATTACGGGGTCCCCTCTTTGAATTTCTTAGTTCAAGTTCCCAAGGAAGAGAATCTGATCATCCCAGTTGGTTTCTCTGAGTTAGGTCCCCTCAGAGGCCACTGCCTGGGGTTCAGGTTGGGTCGGGTGATACCCCTGCTAAGAGCTGGTCCTCAGAGTGTGGGCCATGAGGACAAACCTACCAGCTGAGGCTGTGAGTGAAAGGGCTTCCTTTGGTCGGGGGGCGTCGGGGGAGCAGGCAAGAAGTGCTGGTTCCAGATGCAGAGCCCAGAAGGAAAGCTGATTTTAGAATAGACTATAGCTGAGTCTCACGCCAGAGATGTTTTTCCGTCCCTTGTTTTGCCAGATTGAAACCTTCAGCTGACTGTGGCCCGTTTCAAGGGCTGCCCTTCTTCATTCACGCCATCTACAGCTGGATCGACACCCTGAGTAAAAGGCCCAGCTACCTGTGGGTTGTCTGGATCTACCGGAACCTCATCGGAAGTGTGCACTTCTTTTTCATCCTCACCCTCATTGTGTTGTAAGTGGGGTGCCCTGGGAAGCTGTTGGGAGGAACACTGTTAACACAACATGCAGACAGCCCTCGGGATGTTTGCTGCAAGAGCAGAGGGCTGCAGGTGGGCTCATGGTTTTCCATGATTCTGACCCTGCCCTTGAATTTTTCAAGAAGTTATTTAATATTTTTTGTCCTAGTTTTTTTTTTTTCACCCATTTTATGAAGAAAGCAATACCTGCTCTGCCCCTCTTTTCTTTCTTTTTTTTTCTTTGGTGAAGAAGATTGGCCCTGAACTAACATCTGTTGCCAATCTGCCTCTTTTTGCTTGAGGAAGATTGTCACTGAGCTATCATCTGTGCCAATCTTCCTCTATTTTACGTGGGGTGCCTCCACAGCATGGCTTGACAAGCAGTGCTGGGTCTACGCCTGGGATCTGAACCTGTGAACCCCAGGCCATCGAACTAGAGCATGCAAACTTAACCACTATGCCACCAGGCTGCCCCTGCTCTGCCCCTCTGAGAGATAATGTGACAATAAAATGAAAACAAAATGGATAGGAGAATGCTTAGGAAAATTAAATGTGTGATTTTTTTTTTCTGAGATTGTGATATATTAAAATGGGCTGGGCATTATTGATACATAGGATAGTGTACTTTCATTTTCAAATAAAAAAAGAGCCGTTCCTGACTTCTTGTGAAAAAGCAGAAGATGTGCCAAGACTGGGCCTGTTTTCCTGCATGAAAAGTTGGTTGGCTGACTAACGGCTGTCCCGCTTTAGAAGCCTGGCCCTGATGGCGTTTGAGATGGTGGCTCCTCCTGTAGGAAGACACAACTCAGATGCACGGGTGGTGGACCCAGCTGCTGATGATGATGGGGCAACCCTCACTATTACAGATGGAAGTGATGACTTACAGAGATGGCCTGACCTGCAGAGTGGGTTCCCGGCTGCACAGCCTGTTAGTGGCTGAGGGGCTGGAACTTGGTCTCCTGGCTCTGGCATGCCCTCCCTGCCCCACACTAGGTTGCTGTTGCCCTCTTTAAAATAGTGAGTTCTAGTGCCTCACTCCTTCAAACTTCTAATTCAGAGGCTGGCCCGGTTGCATAGTGGTTAAATTTGTGCACTCTGCTTTGGTGGCCTGGGGTTCACCAGTTCAGATCCTGGGCATAAATCTACACAATGCTCATCAAGCCATGCTATGGCGGCATCCCACAGAGAAGAACTAGAAGGACTTATGACTAGGATATACAACTATGTACTGGGGCTTTGGGGAGAAAAATTAAAAAGAGGAAGATTGGCAACAGATGTAGCTCAGGGCCAATCTTCCTCACCAAAAAAAAACAAAACGAAACAAAACAAAACTTCTAATTCACCAGGGCAATGCAGAGTCTCAGGCCCTGCTGCAGACCTACAGAATCAGAATCTGCATTTTAACAAATTCCCAGGAAATCTGTATCACGTTGAAGTTTGAACAGCACTGTGCAGATTCACAAATTCTGGCTGTGCATTGGAATCGTGCATTTTTAAATTCCTGATGTCTAACTGTTCTTGCCACAAAAAAAACCTGGTGATCATGTGATGTGATAGAGGTGTTTGCTGACACTGCAGTGGTAATCGCATTGCAGTGTATCAGTGTATCAGACCAACACAGTTGTACCCTGAGACTTACAGCATGTTATATGTCAAGTATATCTCAATAAAAAATAAAAACAAAACCAGATTGAGGTGAAGTTTACAAGTGTATAAATATACCAAAACTCATCAAACTACCCTTAACATGAGTAAATTTTGTAATATGTAAACTATGCCTTAATAAAGCTGTAAAAAAGAAAAAATACTGATGTCTGGCCTCATGCCCAGAGAAGCTCAGTTAATTGATCTGAGGAGGAGCCGTGGCATGAGCCTTTTTCCCACATTTCAGTTGATTCCGTGTGCAGAGTGGTGAGAACCACTGCTCTCGTGTATTTACCTTGTAACTCACCGGGACACAAATTTTCAGGAGCACCTTTGGGCCAAAATCCATTTGCAAGTAAATATCTCAGTTCCTTTGCACCCACTGGAAATCCAGAGCCTGCAAAGCATTGGCGAGAGTGTCTGCCATTCCTTCTTTTCTTTTCTTCCAGAATCATCACGTATCTTTACTGGCAGATCACAGAGGGAAGGAAGATAATGATCAGACTGCTCCATGAACAGATCATTAATGTAAGTCCCACTGTACCCTTTCCTTATCCTCCTCTCCCTCTTTTTTTTTTTTTTTGCATTTTATAATGGAAATTTCCAAACATAATCCAAAATAGAATACAGTCATGCACTGCGTAATGATGTTTTCGTCAATGACAGACCTCATACACGACGGTGGTCCCATAAGATTACTAACATACAGCCTAGGTGTATGGTAGGCTATACCATCTAGGTGTGTGTAGGTACACTCTGTGATGTTTGCACAATGATGAAATCGCCTAATGACTCGTTTCTCAGAATGTATCCCTGTCGTTAAGCTCCACCCGCTCATCACTCACCCCAACAACCATCAACATTTGCACACTCTTGTTTCATCTGCACTAACCCTTCGCTGCAAATCTCTGGGTTATTTTAAAGCAAATCCTAGACTTTGTGTCATTTTATCTGTAAAAACTTCTATATGCCTGAGAGATACAGACTTTTAAAAGACATGACCACGATACCTACCATCGCACTTAAAAGAAAACTTAATAATTCCTTCCTGTCATCTAAGACCCAGTCAATGGTCACATTTCCCCAATTGTCTAAGTGTCTTTTTACAGTAGGGTTGTTCCAATCAGGATCTGAGAAAGTGCCACCTGTTGCATTTGGTTGAAATGTCTCTTATGTTGCTTTTCCTCTATAACCGTCCAGCCCTTCCCCTTTTCCTGCCATTTATTGTTGAAGAAACCAAGTGGTTTGTCTTGTAGGACTTCCCACATTCTGGATGCATCTGATTTGCCACCCTGTGGGGGTGTTTAGCATGTTTCTTTCTCCTTTGTATTTCCTGTAAATGTGGTGAGCTGTAGAGACCCGATTAGAACCAAATTCAACTTCTTAGCCAGAACACTTCATAGATAATGCTGTGCCCTTCTGATGGCGTCACCTCCAGATATAAAATGTCAGACTGTCTCTTTTTTGTGTTTGATAAGAGTGATCAGTGGGTCCACGCTTCGTTAGCCTGACCCATCCATCCTGATTTAGCAGCCTGTCGTGAGTATTGCCTAGAAGATCCATTTATTTCATTAGGGATTACAAAATAGTGATACTCTCATTGTCAGGTTTCTTCCACATTTATTAGCTGGAATTCTTCTATAAAAGAAGAATTTTTGCTCATCAACTATTTGATTCCCTTGAAATAGAGTTCGTAGAGGAAAGAGTTATGCCAGTTTTTTAAATGATAAGTTGGTACCCTAGTGTATTAGTTTCCTGGGGCTGTCATAACAAATTACCATGAGCTGGGTAGCTTAAAATAACAGAAATTTATTGTTTCACAGTTCTGGAGGCCAGAAGTCCAAAACCCAGGTGTCGGCAGGGTTGGTTCTTTCTGAAGCACCGAGGGAGACTCTGTTCCTCGCCTCTCTCCCAGCTTCTGATGGCAGCTGGCAAACCTTGGCGTTTCTTGCCCTGCGCCTTCATAGGTCCAATCTCTGCCTCCGTCTTCACAAGGCCCTTTTCTCTCTCTGTCTATTTCTCCTTCTCTTCTGAGGACTTACCATTTGAATTTAGAGTTCATCCTCATCCAGAAGGATCTCAGCTCCAAACCTTTAATCTAATTACATCTGCAAAGACCCTGTTTCCAGACAAGGCTATATTCACAGGTACTGGGGTTAGGATAACTTGGAAATATCTTTTTAAAAGGGAGACACTATTCAAACCACTATAGCTAGCAACCTCCCAATGTAGCCAGTGAGGATTTTTTCAAATTATTATTACAAATTCAGAGATAGTATATTTTGACATCTTTCAATTACAGTCATTTGTTTATGCTTAAATAGTCTCAACCTTTGCTAGTGGCAGTCCTTTTGAATTAGCTCCCGGGTACTTTTGACATGCCCCCAAAGTCTTCGATAGCTTCCTTGCTCTCTGGAAGGACAAGATGTCCCAGACTCATCTTGCTCATGTCCTGTCCCAGAACAGGAATCCGCCATTTCTTCAATTTCTTAAGGAGTCCTGGTGAAATGGCATTTAGGGACCACAGTCTGGACACAGGGATGCTCATTGCGCCTGGGCTGATTCCCTTTTCTTCCGAATACCAACATAATTGTGACACGAGCACTTCTGTCTACGAACATGGGAAAGAAGTGGGGCTCCCCAGGGTTCTATCTGCTTGAGTCTTTTCTTGCTTGAGGAAGATTGTCACTGAGCTAACATCTGTGCCAATCTTCCTCCACTTTGTATGTGAGATGCCACCACAGCATGGCTTGACGAGTGGTATGTAGGTCTGCACCCAAGATCAGAACCTGCGAACCCTGGGCCGCCAAAGTGGACCACTACACTATCGGGCAGGCCCCCAAAACCCTTATTTTAAAATTAAGGAATCCAGGGCTTACAGAGTGAAGTGATCCGCCCAAAGTCACACGGCTAATAAATGGTGGGATTTGAACCAGGTGACTCCAAAAGTTCGTGCTCTTACCTACAATGCACTTTTGCCTCCCTGAGTCAAAATCTGTTGGCTAAAGCCCTTGAGTTTGCATTTTTGCAAGGCCTGCAGGTAATTCTAATTTGCACTGGAGTGTGAAACAGCTGCTACAGACCAGAGATTTCCAAACACGTCAGCCAACAGCTGGGGAACTTGTTAAAATACCAATTCCCAAGGCCAGCTCTTCCTTACAGAAGAATTCCAATTGATAAACGTGGAAGGAATGAGGGAAATAGAAAATCACACTGAAGCAAATACCACAGTAATATCTATTGCGAGCAGGATCCACTGGTGGATGGCAAAATTAGCGGGTGAAAGTTTAAGGAGAAACAGGGCGTGGGGAATGGGACTGACCTAGACTGGTCAGACCATCAGTGGTGCTGGCTGGCCCCCTCAACACTGGTGGGATATATGTCACTCCTTTATCTGCAGCAGAGTTATAGAAAAGTGATTCGCCCTTCTGGGGAAGGCAGACCTGTTTCTTTGTGTCCCTTCCCAATTCTGGAATTATTTATCTGGGTCTACTCCATGAAAAGAGATAACGTTGACAAATGGAATATATTTGATGTCTTTAGATGCAGAGCTGTAAGCTTTGACATTCCCAGTGGGAGGCCAGGGCAGACCCAGGCAGTGCTGGGTGCCCAGACAGGGTTTTGGGGCAGAGGGCATGCCAGGAAGGGGGCTCTTATAAACCATTTGTCCTGGGCCTTCAGACAACGGCATGTCAGTTGCTTCTGACAAGGCTGCTTCTCAAGCCTGCTGAGGAAATCACTTTAGAGTAGATTATTACAATTTGGGAAGGCTGTAGGGGCACAATCTGGCTTTGCTGTGAAATGTTTATTTTCTTTCAAGAGAAAACATGGCGGCAGCCTCCATCCAACGTCTGGGACCGCACCTGCCTGACAATCCGCCTTCTTTCCATCATTTGCTTCTCCACCCCACACCATCATTCATCCTCCACATTTTGGTTTTCCTTTTCCTTCTTGGCAGGAGGGCAAAGATAAAATGTTCCTGATAGAAAAGTTGATCAAGCTGCAGGAGATGGAGAAGAGAGCAAACCCCAGCTCGTTGCCACCGGAAAGGCGAAACATGGAGGTGAGGCTGGAGGCCACGTGTGTCTGTTCTGTAGCCCAATCTGACAGAAGTACATCCCATGAGGTGAAAAGTGCCCTGCCATCTCACCCCACTCTATTAATGCTTCAGTGTAGATTCTTCTAGATCTTTCTCTCCAGGCATCTGCAAACATACACACAGCTACTAACATTTTTGTTTATTTATTTATTACAAAATTGGGGATATACTATACACATAGTATTGTAACTCCCCTCCCCCCAATTAATATCTTGCACATTGTCTCAGTCTGCTCATATTTGAATATTTGGGTTGATCCCGGGTTTCTTTTTTAAGACTAAAAGTAGTGTGTAATGAAACATTTTGTGTCACAATTATTTTATGTGCGTATCATGTGGCATGCCCATGATAATACTGATAGATATTGCCATGTCATGCTTTTAAAAAGATTTTACCAATTTCATTGTTACCAAGAGGGTATAAGAGATGCCTGGAACCCCAATCCCAGAGCCCTCGCTGGCTTCCTTGGTGTCTTGGGAAATATGGATAAGCAGTTAACCCACCTAAATTCAAATGCCACTAGTTTTGGAAGTTATGATCTTGTCAGAAGAGACTGCTGTGTCATTCGCTATCTGTGCCAATTAATACCGTCTGCACGATTTAGGTCAGGGACCTAGAGGCCCAACTCTAAATCCTGTGAAGGCAGGGACCATGTCTGTACCCTCACAGCCCAACGTCCTAATATATTACTTGGCGTATTGTAAATGCCCAGTAAAATACCTGTGAAATGAATGAATAAATGGATGGAATCACTGTCCCTAAACAAAACAAAGCAAAACACGTTTGATATTTCTCTGGCTGAGCCTTGGTCTTAATTAATGTCACCTCTTAGTTTTGTATGGTGGGGGGGCTCACCGGCCTTACCAGCTGTGCAACAGGACCCGGGGTCTGCATTATTTCCCAGTGATGAGGCTGCCTCTTTTCTTCTTTCTCAGCAACCAGTCTCTTTGCACGTCAGGGAACATGATGCTGCTCGTGGTGAGTAACTGAACTGGCCCTAAGAAGACCTCCTGCATCTAGATGACATAGCCCAAGCTGGAGCATCAGAATTGCCCGTGTATCAGTTCAATCGCAAGAATCGATCCAAACTGGCTTTAGCAAAGCCCCAAGAATAATTCTTGCCTTATAAGCTGAGGCTCACAATATGTCACCAGAACCTGGTTTCTTTTTGTTCAATTCTTTTCCATGTTAGCTCCTTTCTCAATTAGGTTCTTTCTAATATCGCAAGACTGCTTTATCAGCTCCTGATATCTTCTCAGATTCAAGTCTAGTGGGAAAGAGTGAGACACCCAGAGTTCTTATTGTGTTTCCTTGGATCTGACTGGGGGATAAGCCCCTCCATGAACCAATGGCTGTGGCCATGAAAATATGATGATTTCATTGGCCAGATCTGAGTCCCAGGCCTCCTCTGTAGATACAGGTGGTACAACCCTACAGAGCCAGGGACTGAGAGTGGGGAAGGGTGGCTTCCCAAAGAAAATCTGCAGCTGATGCCAGAAGGGGATGGATGCTGGGGAGGCAACAAGCAAACCAACAACCCCATTCATCTTTTTGGAATAACATGTACTGACAGCATCCAATGGTGGGAGTTCAAGGGGAGGATTGAAAAAGGCAAGGCAGGCACGAGAAGCTGTGGGATCTTGAAGGCCCGTTTGGTCTTTCCCCTGGAGAGATGGGGCAGTGAGTGTCTGTGCTAACGTCTCTTTTCTGTGTCAGCCCCAGACCTGCGATTTAGGCGATCAGTTCAAGAAGATAATCCAAGGGCCTGATGATTATTGCGGCAGCCAGACAGCAACCAAATAAGGAAAGAAGACAAAGATGGAACAACTTCTTCCACGACACCTGGGCCCGTCGGAGCTTTCCAGAAGGGGAATTGAAGCCACTAGCTGGGAGTGGAAACTGACCACAGTGTAAATACTGAAGTCAAATCGGCCATTCCCTGCTGGTTTTTTTTTAACACCTGAATTGCTGAGTTTTCAAGATAAAATATTTGGGATTTTCTAATAAAGACTGTTGTAATATTTAAACTAGTTCACAAAAACATGGGGAGAGAGAACCTGGGAATGATGTATTTTGTCTTCGAGAGATGTGCTGTGAATTGTGGGTCCTTAGAAGTCCCTCCTCCCAGACCTCCCAGACCTGGCGAAGGTTTGGAAACTGGTGCTAAGACAAGTATCCAGCCTGAATAAAAATGTGGTCCTCAATCAGAGATGTGAAGCCTGTGAATTGTGGAGCCTGCATGTGTTCATGACGTGGAACTGAAAACATCCCCCTGGTACCCGAAGGTGAAATACAACCAGAGGCCTTGTCGGTGCACTTTATTGTGTGTCGAGTACATGAGTCTTTGGGGTTGAACTGGGGTTGGGGGGTGTGCACTGGGACTCTCCCTCCGTGAGGTTTGATACGTGACCATCAAAGTCTTGTGTTGAACCAAACATGGAAGCAGTGGTGACGTGTGGAATATATATATGTCTGTATGTATATGTGTGTGTGTGTGTGTGTGTATACAGGCATACCTCGGAGATATGGTGGGTTTGGTTCCAGACCACTGCAATAAAGTGAATATCGCAATAAAGCGAGTCACACAAATATTTTGGTTTCCCAGTGCATAAAAAGTTATATTTATACTGTAGTCTATTAAGAGTGCAATAGCATTATGTCTAAAAGAAACAATGGACATACCCTAATTCAAAAATACTTTATTGCTAAAAAATACTAACCATCATCTGAGCCTTCAGCAAATCGTAATCTTTTTGCTGGTAGAGGGCCTTGTAAAAGAGGCAGTATCCACAGAGTGCAATAAAGCAGAACACAATAAATGAGGTATACCTTGGGGGCTGGCCCGGTGGCACAGTGGTTAAGTACGCATGTTCCGCTTCAGTGGCCTGGGGTTCGCCGGTTCGGATCCCAGGTGTGGACATGGTGCCACTTGGCAAGCCATGCTGTGGTAGGTGTCCCACATATAAAGTAGAGGAAGATGAACACAGATGTTAGCTCATGGCCAGTCTTCCTCAGCAAAAAGAGGAGGATTGGCTGCAGATGTTAGCTCAGGGCTAATCTTCCTCAAAAAAAACCCCAAAAAACAATAACAAAAAAAATGAGGTATGCCTGTATATAGACATATGCATCCATATATACAGCATCCTTTTGCAGATTTGCCAAATGACTCACGAGGCATTGACTGTATTTAAAACTGACGGGTTCAGCAGCAAGGTGCAGTCACCAAATTACTCGGGAGGTGAAGTCTCCTCTTGAGTATCACTGTCGTAAAATCTAATTGGAACCGGATTTAAAACAACATTTAAGGTGCATTTGAAACAAGCGTCCAATCCGTGCTGAGCTATTGATTCAGTTTTTCATTGACTTATTTATTCATTAATTGATTTCATCAACTGAATTAATCTCTTTTGCTATCACCTTTGCTGGTAGGTTCATTCATTCATTCATTCAACAAATATGTGCCAAGTGGTGGTGAACAAGTTAAGACAGAGTCTCTGTCCTCATGCACTTACTGTCTAGCAGGTTAATTTAGACAGGAACTTAATAATTAATTATAATTGTGGTAGGTGCTGTGAAGGAGAATCCCAGGGGACTGTGGGTGACTTGTCTGTGGGGTCAGTGAAGGCGGCCCGTGGAATTGATGCTTGAAGTGATTTTTTCCCCTCTGTGTCATCTTAATGCCATTTGTGCTTCCTCGGCTTCTCCACTGACATGCGGGCCTCCTCGGAAAGCATCTTTCTGCTTCCTTACCGTACACTGAGATGGAACGCTTCTCTGCTCACCTCCATCTCTTTTCTCCATTTGCCTGCAGCCCCTGCTTCTGGAGGTGTGAGCGCTGTGGAAAGATCTAGTCTCCAGGTGTCACACACACATTTGGATGCGAGGATGCTCTTAACACGTGGCCTTGAGAGAGGGGGTGTCTTGGTTTGCTAAGGCTGCCATAGCCAGATACCACAGACCGGGTGACTCAAACCACTCAGATTAATTTTCTTCCAGTTCCCGAGGTTAGAAGTGCAAGATCAAGGTGTCAAGGGCCACATTTTCATTTTGTTCTAAGGCCTCTCTCCTTGGCTTACAGATGGCCGCCTTCTTGCTGTATCCTCATATGGTCTTTCCTGTGTGCACATCCTGGTGTCACTTTGGGTCCAAATTTCCTCCTCTTATAAGGACACCATCAGATTGGATTAGGACCCACCCTGTTGGGTTCATTCGAACTTATTCTTCTGTTTAAAGATCTTCTCTCAAACATCGTTACCGTCTGAGGTACTGGGGCTTCGGTCTCCAGCTTATGCATTTTGAGTCAACACAGTTCAGCCCATAGGAGCCAGCTCTCCCCCAGGCCTGCCAGGGCCTCCACTGGGCAGCAGGGCTCTCAATGTTGGCTGCACTCAGAGTCACACGGGGAGCTGGCCATCAACTGCCAGACCCCACTCGAGACCAACTAAATCAGGCTCTCCTACTTTTTCTTTAAGGCTCCCCAGATGCTTTCAGTGGGAGCTCAGGGCTGCGTGCTACCGAGCTAGGATCTAGAGTAGTTCTTCCCAAACTCGTCTGACTATAGAAGCCACCCAAGGCAGTTATTAAACATGCAAATGGTGAGCTCAGACTATTGCATCAAAATCTGCCGGGGACATTCCCCATCCTCCTCGTCCAACCCTTCATTAGTTCAAAATGATAAAAGTAACATATGCTTTCCAACAGTCACTTGAAAGCTGGATAAGCCCTGTAGTTTTAGGTATAAAGAAAGGATAGGCTCTTTGAATTTCTCTGGGGTCTGATCCTTCAAGTGGCCGCAATGAACGGCCCAGTTCATTTCTTTTTTTTTTTTTTTTTTACAAGAATGCCATCTTTTTTTTTTTCTCCCCAAAGCCCTAGTACATAGTTGTAAATCCTAGTTGTAAGACCTTCTAGTTCTTGTATGAGGGATGCTGCCTCAGCATGGCTTGATGAGTGGTGTGTAGGTCTGCGCACAGGATCCAAACCGGCAAACCCTGGGCTGCTGAAGTGGAGTGCACGAACTTAACCACTACGCCACAGGGTTGGCCCCCCGGTTCATTTCTTATGGGATAATGAAATGATTTTGTGCAAAGCTCAATTATAAAAGGAGTGACTAAAATAGCATACGATGGACATATATTTTTATAATCTTTGAACTGAGGACAGGTGGTAAAAATTCAGCTCATTAACAGGCATCCTCTCAGTATGATGGCACTTCACAGACCCTCCCTAAATTCTCAAAGTTTTTGCCAGCATTTATGTGTCTGATCAACTGAGACAGACCACTGAGAGGAGCTCAGGTGGGAGGTGAGGGGCTCTGCTTTGCTCATCACTGCGCCTGCCTGGTACGAGTAATGCCTGACACCTGGGTAGTGTTACCATCCGCACAGTGTTTCTCCCCTTTAACCTGGATTCTTCTTATAAAGCAGATGCTAATTTGTGAGGTTGGGGATGGGGCCTGAGAGTCTGCATTTCTGTCTAGCACGATGGGTCTGAGGACCACGAGCTGAGTACTACAGTGTTTGAGCACTTCCACGTTTTTAATTTTATCTTTACAACAGTATTATTACACTAACAGACTTTTCAAAACCCTTCCACTTTTTTTCTCACTTGAACCTCATAACATTATCGCTAGAAGACAATCAGTGCAAATATTATGATTTTTGTCTGACAGATGTTGGAAACTGAGGCACACATAGGCTAAGTGATTTGTCTAAGGTCTCCTAGTTAGTGGCAGAACTGAGGACTTCGGGTTTTCTCTGGCTCAGTGGTTCGCAGACTTGAGCATGTATCAGAACCACCTGGAAGGCTTGTAAAGGCAGATGCTGAGCCCCACCAAGAGTTCCAGATAGTCAGTGTGTCTGGGTTGAGCTCTGAGAATTTGCATTTCTAACTAGTTCGCCCTTATGCTGATATTGAATAGATGTCTCCGAGGACAGCATTCTTTGAGAGCCACTGTGCCTAGCTGTTGGCCAGCCTCTTCTTAACACTTAGTGTTCTGCTGCTGGTTCGATTTTGAGCATGATTTAAAGTTTGATAATAGAACACACAAGGTCATTAATCCGCAGTATTTTTGATCAAAGAAATCAAATAACCTTGCTGTACGGTAACCACCACTCCATGCTGAAGAAGTCTGGAACGCTTCGGTAACTCACACCCTTCCCCACCCTCCGAGCTGTGGTTTACTGTCCTGTCGAAGTACCATTCCCACTTTAGGAGATGGTGGGTGTAATTCTCTTTAGAAATTGACATCTAATAGAATAGTTATGCCTTGGTGAAATCTTGTCAAAACAGGATTGATGACACTCATCTCCGATAAGAAACTGAGTATTGTTTAATCAAGTAAGTAGTGGGTTTCTTTGGTCTTTTGAGGTAAGCCCTTTGATGTTATCTTTCTCCAGCATCCCGAGAGCAGAGGGGCAGTCCAAGAACAGCAGAGGATGTTGATTTTTACCTGTATTGACTTTCCTGGAAGGAATGCCGTCTATCACGACTTTGGATGGCCCCTTGATGCTGCTGAATCCTGAATCATTTATCTACACTCCCAAATTTTCATCTCACACTAGGTCTGCATCTCCAGTTTCCTCAAGGAAGTTTCCACTTGGATATCCCATAATTCATTCCTTCAGCAAACACTTATTGAGCATCTACTATGTGACAGGCACTGTCATATGTACTGGGAATGATTACGATGGTTCTGATTACTGAGTCTTTGCTGTGATAAAAGCAGTGGTTTAGAGTGTGGACTCTGGAATTACATCACGGAGGCCTGAATCCTTATCCTATTACTGCTGTGTGACTTAGGCAAATTACTTAACTTCCCTGTGCTTTGGTTTCCTTCTATAAAATGGGATTATAATGGTGCCTACCTCATGGTGTTGTTGCAGAGTGAACACATGGAAACCATGTGAAACAGTGTCTAGTACATGGTAGGCAGTCAATAAATGTGCTAACAAGCACTTTACATGTACTCTTTCATTTATTTAATCACCACCCTCCCTGGGGTGGTACTATTACTGCCTGTGTTTTACAGATGAATTGAGTAACTTGCCCAAGGTCACACAGCTAGTAAGTTGCTGATCAGGAAATCAGACTCACCTTTCTCTGATCCAAATTCTGTTCTAAACCCCTAAACTAAACCTTCTAAGTAACTGCTTCATAGTAGTAGTACCTATTAGCACCCCAGTTCTTCATCCAAATTCTCCATTCTTC